TCCAGCATATTTTTTACGCAGTGGATGCCCTTTCAATTGCAACCCAACATTGGGAAACATCCATACACACTCTTTCACACACATGCACTACGGCCAATTTAGCTTATTTAATTCACCTATAGCGCATGTATTTGGACTGTGGGGAAAACCGGGGCGCCCGGACACAGGGAGAACATGCAAACTCCACACAGAAACGCCAACTGACCCAGCAGGGGTCGAATCAGCGACCTTCTTGCTGTAAGGCTATCATGCGCCACAGTGACATCCCCAAATTTCTCTAAATATACATACAAAAACTTTCCATACTGATGCACCCAAATCATTTCAGTTTTATAATTTTTTTTTCGACTGTACTGAAGTGCTCAAAAATAAGAAAGAAAATAGTACATCAGTCAAATCTGAAAGAAATAGTGCCAAAATATAACAAAAGTAGTGACAATTTGAAGCTATGCCAACAAATGAATGGCAAAAATGTACAATGGGTTTCATGGGGACACTTTGTTTTTTACAAATGGACATGAGTGAAGTGGTGGTGAATGTGTGGAAAGGTGAAACCTTAAAATATAAATAACAACACATTTTAGGAACATTTACACTGAATAGAGCAAAACTAAAATGTCCATAAAGGCATACAAGGGTTAAGTTGCAACAATATAGGCTTTGTCTCTTGTCAAACTATAAAAAGCAGTTGCAGCGGTGTGTGACTGAATGTGTGTATTTCCTGTATTCCTCATGTTGAGGTGACCAAATGTCCCCATAAGTATAGCAATACCAGTTAATTGACTTGTGGGGGCATTTTCTTGGTCCATATGAGTAAAACGGCTCACAAATCATTCAAAATAAAGTACTTTGAAAATGTAAAAATGCAGATTGTTTCTTCTGATGGTTGGGTTGAGGTCGGGGGATAGAATATACAGTTAAATCATTACGTCTATGGAAAGTCCCCATAAAGATAGCTGTACAAGTGTGTCTTTGTGTGTGTGTACTTACCAACATAGCCCTCTTCTCCAACTAGTTTAAGAGCCAGCTTATCTGCCAAGACAGAGGAGTTCCCATGGGCGATGTTAGCGAAAGGCCCTGCATGCACAAACACTGGAGTGCCCTGACATGACAGACACACAAACAATATCAACAAAAATTATTCAAGTCAAACCTGCACACATTAGCACCTGAAGTGTTCATGACAGACGAACAGCCTCAATGTTACCTGAAAATCACTTTAGAAAGTCATTTAAGAGCTTGTGATTGACTGCTGAAATTGGTCACGTTTTTTTTTTCTTCTCTTGAGTACTTCTCATAACTTGTTTGAGCTTGTATGTTTGTCATTTCACAACATTGAATAAATTTGTTGTAAAGTCTGTTATAGCATCGAGAGCCAGAAAGACTTCAACGCTTTGTGAAAATGTGTGGTTTGAACCGATGACCCTGCGGTCCTCTGACACTTCCCAAACACTGAAAGCGACACCACACACTCGCTGACAGCTGAAGGGACAGGAAGGAGAGACTGCAGGAAGATGGAAAAGAAAGTCCACACAAAAACAAGAATGGAGTGATGGTGAAGTCATTTCAATTCAGGAAAAGGATACAAGCGGTGTTGAACAAAATGAGCTTTCCATCAAACAGAGAAAGGGGCAACCTTCCTTTATTGACCTAAACTTTTATCACTGAATCCCAGCATCCTCCTTTCACTGCAGCTCATGCAGGTGCTGGTCGATACAAAACATTACAAAATATTCCACATTAAAATAAGACGAGTGAGCCAAGCTTAGACCTTTCTTAGCCGCAGCAGCCTGCCAGAAGCTTATTGACTCGTTTAATTTAATCAGATTCACTCAATTTGGTTCAGTGAATTTGTTCAAAACACAGTTCGGGATTCATTTGAAAAGCTTTTTCTGAAACTGCAGGACATTTAGTTGGTAGAAGTAAAGATCAGATTCCACTATAATAAAGAATTCATTCATTCATTTTCTTTTTGGCTTAGCAAAATGATCCGCCTACTTATCCAGCATATTTTTTACGCAGTGGATGCCCTTTCAATTGCAACCCAACATTGGGAAACATCCATACACACTCTTTCACACACATACACTACGGCCAATTTAGCTTATTTAATTTACCTATAGCGCATGTATTTGGACTGTGGGGGAAACCGGGGCGCCCGGACACAGGGAGAACATGCAAACTCCACACAGAAACGCCAACTGACCCAGCAGGGGTCGAACCAGCGACCTTCTTGCTGTAAGGATATCATGCTACCCACTGCGCCACAGTGACATCCCCAAATTTCTCTAAATATACATACAAAAACTTTCCATACTGATGCACCCAAATCATTTCAGTTTTATAATTTTTTTCGACTGTACTGAAGTGCTCAAAAATAAGAAAGAAAATAGTACATCAGTCAAATCTGAAAGAAATAGTGCCAAAATATAACAAAAGTAGTGACAATTTGAAGCTATGCCAACAAATGAATGGCAAAAATGTACAATGGGTTTCAGTGGGGACACTTTGTTTTTTACAAATAGACATGAGGGAAGTAGTGGTGAATGTGTGGAAAGGTGAAACCTTAAAATATAAATAACAACACATTTTAGGAACATTTACACTGAATGGAGCAAAACTAAAATGTCCATAAAGGCATAGAAGGGTTAAGTTGCACCAATATAGGCTTTGTCTCTTGTCAAACTATAAAAAGCAGTTGCAGCGGTGTGTGACTGAATGTGTGTATTTCCTGTATTCCTCATGTTGAGGTGACCAAATGTCCCCATAATTTTAGCAATACCAGTTAATTGACTTGTGGGGACATTTTCTTGGTCCATATGAGTAAAACGGCTCACAAATCATTCAGAATAAAGTACTTTGAAAATGTAAAAATGCAGATTGTTTCTTCTGATGGTTGGGTTAAGGTCAGGGGATAGAATATACAGTTAAATCATTACGTCTATGGAAAGTCCCCATAAAGATAGCTGTACAAGTGTGTCTTTGTGTGTGTGTACTTACCAACATAGCCCTCTTCTCCAACTAGTTTAAGAGCCAGCTTATCTGCCAAGACAGAGGAGTTCCCATGGGCGATGTTAGCGAAAGGCCCTGCATGCACAAACACTGGAGTGCCCTGACATGACAGACACACAAACAATATCAACAAAAATCATTCAAGTCAAACCTGCACACATTAGCACCTGAAGTGTTCATGACAGACGAACAGCCTCAATGTTACCTGAAAATCACTTTAGAAAGTCATTTAAGAGCTTGTGATTGACTGCTGAAATTGGTCACGTTTTTTTCTTCTTCTCTTGAGTACTTTTCATAACTTGTTTGAGCTTGTATGTTTGTCATTTCACAACATTGAATAAATTTGTTGTAAAGTCTGTTACAGCATCAAGAGCCAGAAAGACTTCAACGCTTTGTGAAAATGTGTGGTTTGAACCGATGACCCTGCGGTCCTTTGACACTTCCCAAACACTGAAAGCGACACCACACACACGCTGACAGCTGAAGGGACAGGAAGGAGAGACTGCAGGAAGATGGAAAAGAAAGTCCACACAAAAACAAGAATGGAGTAATGGTGAAGTCATTTCAATTCAGGAAAAGGATACAAGCGGTGTTGAACAAAATGAGCTTTCCATCAAACAGAGAAAGGGGCAACCTTCCTTTATTGACCTAAACTTTTATCACTGAATCCCAGCATCCTCCTTTCACTGCAGCTCATGCAGGTGCTGGTCGATACGAAACATTACAAAATATTTCACATTAACATAAGACGAGTGAGCCAAGCTTAGACCTTCTTAGCCGCAGCAGCCTGCCAGAAGCTTATTGACTCGTTTAATTTAATCAGATTCACTCAGTTTGGTTCAGTGAATTTGTTCAAAACACAGTTCGGGATTCATTTGAAAAGCTTTTTCTGAAACTGCAGGACATTTAGTTGGTAGAGGTGAAGATCAGATTCTACTATAATAACGAATTCATTCATTCATTTTCTTTTTGGCTTAGCAAAATGATCCGCCTACTTATCCAGCATATTTTTTACGCAGTGGATGCCCTTTCAATTGCAACCCAACATTGGGAAACATCCATACACACTCTTTCACACACATGCACTACGGCCAATTTAGCTTATTTAATTCACCTATAGCGCATGTATTTGGACTGTGGGGAAAACCGGGGCGCCCGGACACAGGGAGAACATGCAAACTCCACACAGAAACGCCAACTGACCCAGCAGGGGTCGAATCAGCGACCTTCTTGCTGTAAGGCTATCATGCGCCACAGTGACATCCCCAAATTTCTCTAAATATACATACAAAAACTTTCCATACTGATGCACCCAAATCATTTCAGTTTTATAATTTTTTTTTCGACTGTACTGAAGTGCTCAAAAATAAGAAAGAAAATAGTACATCAGTCAAATCTGAAAGAAATAGTGCCAAAATATAACAAAAGTAGTGACAATTTGAAGCTATGCCAACAAATGAATGGCAAAAATGTACAATGGGTTTCATGGGGACACTTTGTTTTTTACAAATGGACATGAGTGAAGTGGTGGTGAATGTGTGGAAAGGTGAAACCTTAAAATATAAATAACAACACATTTTAGGAACATTTACACTGAATAGAGCAAAACTAAAATGTCCATAAAGGCATACAAGGGTTAAGTTGCAACAATATAGGCTTTGTCTCTTGTCAAACTATAAAAAGCAGTTGCAGCGGTGTGTGACTGAATGTGTGTATTTCCTGTATTCCTCATGTTGAGGTGACCAAATGTCCCCATAAGTATAGCAATACCAGTTAATTGACTTGTGGGGGCATTTTCTTGGTCCATATGAGTAAAACGGCTCACAAATCATTCAAAATAAAGTACTTTGAAAATGTAAAAATGCAGATTGTTTCTTCTGATGGTTGGGTTGAGGTCGGGGGATAGAATATACAGTTAAATCATTACGTCTATGGAAAGTCCCCATAAAGATAGCTGTACAAGTGTGTCTTTGTGTGTGTGTACTTACCAACATAGCCCTCTTCTCCAACTAGTTTAAGAGCCAGCTTATCTGCCAAGACAGAGGAGTTCCCATGGGCGATGTTAGCGAAAGGCCCTGCATGCACAAACACTGGAGTGCCCTGACATGACAGACACACAAACAATATCAACAAAAATTATTCAAGTCAAACCTGCACACATTAGCACCTGAAGTGTTCATGACAGACGAACAGCCTCAATGTTACCTGAAAATCACTTTAGAAAGTCATTTAAGAGCTTGTGATTGACTGCTGAAATTGGTCACGTTTTTTTTTTCTTCTCTTGAGTACTTCTCATAACTTGTTTGAGCTTGTATGTTTGTCATTTCACAACATTGAATAAATTTGTTGTAAAGTCTGTTATAGCATCGAGAGCCAGAAAGACTTCAACGCTTTGTGAAAATGTGTGGTTTGAACCGATGACCCTGCGGTCCTCTGACACTTCCCAAACACTGAAAGCGACACCACACACTCGCTGACAGCTGAAGGGACAGGAAGGAGAGACTGCAGGAAGATGGAAAAGAAAGTCCACACAAAAACAAGAATGGAGTGATGGTGAAGTCATTTCAATTCAGGAAAAGGATACAAGCGGTGTTGAACAAAATGAGCTTTCCATCAAACAGAGAAAGGGGCAACCTTCCTTTATTGACCTAAACTTTTATCACTGAATCCCAGCATCCTCCTTTCACTGCAGCTCATGCAGGTGCTGGTCGATACAAAACATTACAAAATATTCCACATTAAAATAAGACGAGTGAGCCAAGCTTAGACCTTTCTTAGCCGCAGCAGCCTGCCAGAAGCTTATTGACTCGTTTAATTTAATCAGATTCACTCAATTTGGTTCAGTGAATTTGTTCAAAACACAGTTCGGGATTCATTTGAAAAGCTTTTTCTGAAACTGCAGGACATTTAGTTGGTAGAAGTAAAGATCAGATTCCACTATAATAACTATGTTTTTATTTTATATCGTTGATGGACAAAAAAAGTAAGGCATGATTTCTTGTCTTTAAGTTCAGATCACATTTCTGGCACATAAAGAAGCATAATAGAAGCGTGCTGAAATGTGAACAACTAAGCAGATTTCAAGAATACGTAACTCATTATAATCTAAAGGTCAGTCAGTGACTTCCGTGTATCTACAAAACAATTCAACAAACCAATTTAATGCGATGAATTTGCTCAATCACTAGCAGTTTGACAGCAAGTCAGAAAAAAAGGAACGAGTGTTGGTCTTTTGTGAGTGACTGTAAATGGAAAGAAAGTATAGTTTCCAGCAAGCTATCCTGTGGAAAACTATTACAGAAAAAAAACTATGATATCAAAAACTGGAAAGAGAATGATTGGAGCCCTTTGCTCTGTGAATGTGGAAAAGAGGAGAGATTTGACATGCCAACGTCAGCAAAAGTTAGAAAACAGGAAAAACTAACTGAGAAAGAGCACTGCAGATAGGAACTGGCTGGTTATGCTTGTTTAACAGGCCAAATTATCTATTCATTTTGACCATTAAACTGTTTATCTTCAAAAAGACCACTAATCTATTGTAATCATGAAAACATATTTTATTATTTAAACTGAACATTTATTATTTAGGCAAATGTGAAATGTTTTACAGATTTTTTTAGGATGATGAATGAATTTTAACATGTCATTACTGTCATTTCAATGAATATAATGCATCCTTTCTGATTAACAGTATTAATTGCTTCTAATAATATTTTCTCTTAATGTTTAACAAATCTCAGTCAGTGTCAAATTTTAATGTGCATCTCATTTCAGCAAACATACAAAACACATAGAGTGCATCTCTGATCATGGAGTCAGCCATTTTAAGTTCCATCTCAATTGTAAAATTTCTACAGTGCAATGAAACGTTCACTCCCACAATGCACTGCGAAAATCAAGGAACATTTCTCTCACCATGTTCCCTTGGTACTTTTAAAGTGCAAATTACAAGGGAAAAAACAAAAACAAGTCAGATAAAAGTCTTAAAGGTACTCAAAAGGCACTAAAGTCTTAAAGTGAAGAATTATTTATTACTTGATTGTTCAAGCTACCTCACAGAAGCAACATCCTGTTTCTTCCTAAAAAACCTAATCGGGACATCCCTACATAAAAATATAAGAAGAGGCAATTTTGATTTAATGCAGACTTTAACCACAAAGGAACCTCAAACTCCGAACTGATTAGTATAATGAATTTTACATTATAAAATTATTATAATAATAATTATTATATAATTGCTGGTATAAGAAACAATCAAATGATTCATCAAAAATGTAACTTAAAACTTTTCAAAATATGAATACCCATAAATTTCCCCCATAAATTCCAGTTTTGATGTTGTACATTGAGAAAGATCTCATGACACTACTGAATTACAACAACCTCAGGAGTTAGGGAGCTGATTAAGAAGCATCCATACAATCCTTTAAAGATACATTTACTTCAAACACTCTTGTGTATTGTCAATCAAACAGTCTGAAATGCATCTGTGTACACACATACATCCTCTTGGGCTGTCATTCACTCACTTCCTCTCTCACATACACACACAAACACACATATGCACAAAGTAAAACCAAACTAATTGTACTCAGATTTTGATTTTGAAGTTCATAGTACACAATATAAAAACGTTATGCAAACTGCAGTGTTGGGATTTAGATGTTTCTATTATTTAGAATGGTTTAGGGTTACCTGTGCCTGTGGTTAGGCTAAAAATGGGCTAAAAAAACATCTTTATGCATGCGTGTATGAGAAAATAATCTCTTTGATTACTAAGACTTATTCTATTACTAATGCATAAGCATAAATATCAGCGTGAATGTAAAACATTTAACAATTCAGGTAAACTGTAATTAAATTTGTGATAAGTTGAGAGATGCCCTTGTGCCACCCCATTCATCACAAACATGAAATGAAATAATGATTCATTAGATTTACTATTTGTTAAAGGTAAATGGTTGCAAACAATTTATATGGGTTAAATTTAAATAAGTTGAACTTAGCAAAAATTTTATTTATTTGTTTAAAATCAGCCTGTATAAACTGTTTGCAACCATTTACCTTAAAAAATGTAAATAAACTGAATAACTTTTTTGTCAGTGTGTGGTAAAAAAAAAAAAAGTCCTACTAACTTAAAATGTGCATTTACCCAATTAGTTTGAGTCAATATGTTTTTACAAATGTTTTTAAAGTAATCTGAGTGTTTAAAGTGCACACACACACACACACACACACACACATGCTCACACTAACACACCCCCCAATTCACAGCATGGACATTAAAGGCCACTACAAACTGAGTGTTCCCACAACCCTTTGCTGCCTGGTCCATTCTGATACGATTCCTCCTAACAAGAGAAACAGGAAACAGGCAGGAAAGGTTTCACAAAGCGTTTCTGCGTCTCTCTCTACAAACACGCAACTCCTCTGCATCTCACACGCACAAACTTACGGCTGTACACCCCAAACATCAATCACAAGTCATTAGCATGTTTAAAAGCCGTAAAGATGAAAGGCATTCCAACAATCAGGCTTTTCACCACTGTCTTCTTCTCATTTCCAGTTTGCTTGTGGTGTTCGGGGTGTGATAGTGAAAGACAGAGACACACTCCCACTGAGCCAAAACCAAAACCAGATGTGCATGCGTTACTGTACGAGTGTGTTTTTCTATGTCATGCCTCGAATATCCTATCACTTAGCCAACACTGAGAGTATCGAGTTTGGGAGTTTCCATCAAGATAGGACAGTAATGTGGGAGACAGAATAAGAAAAATAGCACAAGCAAGCGCCTGTGTAAAAGATATGGAGAGTTTGGGGTACAGGAACAGGGAAGGTCTCACCTCCAGTGTCTGCATTAGTGTGGGTTTGATAGCATCTTTCATGAGGACGGCCAAAGCCCCGGTCACACCCTGGGAGAAGCAAAAGAACAAAGAAATGTCAAGATATGTTGGTTGCAATAGTTTTTAGGTTTTATCCATATTGCTATGGTGTAACCGATAGTCTTAGAGTTAACAAATGTAAAAAAAAAAGAAAAGTTACTCGCCATTTACTCACCCTCAAATCTTTGAATTTGATGAACACAAGAGAAGATATTTTGAAGAAAGCTGGGAACCTGTAACTATTGACATTCATAGTAAGAAAAACAAATACTATAGAAGTCAATGGTTACAGGTTTCCAACATTTTTCTAAATATCTTACTTTGTGTTTAATAAAAGAGAGAAACTCATAAAGCTTTATGGGGCAACAAATAGACTTTTTTAGAGTTTACAAATGTAAAAATAAATACATAGATACAAATAAAAAGTAGAAATTAAAGGGATAGTTCGGCCAAAAATTAAAATTTACTTACCATTTACTTGCCCTCAAACTTTTTTGAGTTTTTTTCTGTTAAACACAAAAGAGGATATTTTGAAAAATGCTGAAAACCTGTAACCATTGATTTCCATAATAGGAAAAACAGAAAAACTAATTCTATGGAAGTCAATAGTTATAGGTGCCAACATTCTTCTAAATATCTTCTTTTGTGTTTAACAGAGAGAAACGCATAAAGCCTTGAAACAAGTAACGTTTTTCTTTATATATTATTCAATATTATACATTAAGTATAGATATTATTTTGTAAATGCTTAATGCAGTCAAATCACACTACCAGGTGATATATGTAAACGTCTAGTAAAATAATAAATTTTATTATAGCTAAAGCTTTTACCACAATTTATTGTATTTTAATTTATGTATTTTAATAAACCACAAAAGGGTTAAAAAATATATATTTTTATTACTGATAGCAATGCATGTAGTGTTGCAGATGTCCTGTTTCATAAAGTGTGTGTACTCACCACTAATGCTGATTTGATTTTATGAAGTGTTTTTTTTTTTTTTAATTAATTTTAGCATCAGGATGCACAACTGATCAGCACACATCTGTATTAGCCATTAAGTGCTTTTTTGATGTCCTAATAAAAAAATAGGTCACTATATTAAAGCCAATTATTATAAATAATTTGAATTGATGCATGCCGTTTTAATAATCACAATAAAAAAATTCATATCAATATTTACAGTATATTTATTGGCTAAAGACTTGCACTGGCCAGCACTGGTCATAGCCATACATTTCTTAAGTAAAGGTCTTTGCGCACTGAAGTCTGATATTTTCGTATGCATTCTTTTTTGTGTTCATATGTGAAAAAATCATCACAAAAACAAACTTGCACACTGAGTCCAATGTGTATTAGTTTATCCAGTACAAAAAAACGCAAAACATTTCAGAGTCAGTTCAAGCAGTGATATATTGTTCTCCTCTCTTCTCCAAAGTAAAAAAGATAGAGGAATAGGCTACATATTGTGTTCATCTAATACTGAATGGAGAGGAAGGAGAGTTCAGCTCATTATCAAAGAGCTTCGCTACAATCACCTCAAAATGCAAAGTTTATTTCAGGAAACCAGTGGAATTTTGATACATTGCTTGTGATACTACAGACATTCATCTACTTAAATAAATCCTGAAAAGAGGCTGACAGTACCTATAGGCATTAAAATAGATGGTTGCCGCGTTTACGTGTTGAAGCCACTGAACGAGAGCGGACCACGCAATCTATTAATGTCTATGAGCAGTACATCAAATGTATGGACATACACGCATGTACGCACGCACACATGCACGCACACACACACACACACACACACACACACACACACACACACACACACACACACACACACCAAGCAGCATCAGGGGAGAGGTGCACCAGTCACAGAATCCAGCATATAGGGGATTTCAACTGTCCACCACATTTTGTCTTTATTTAATGACTGTGTTTGTCATAAAGTTCTATAGCTCAAATGACGGCATTCTGTATTAGCTTTTCGCTTGTACGGTGGCTCTGAACTGTCAAAACACCTCTCGAAGTGCTTTTTCGGATGTAAAAAGTGAAAAAAAATCTAACCCAGTTCGAATTTTTTATGAGGGACAACGTTTTGGAGGCAGTGCGTCAATACAATTGACACAACGAGAGGTTAAATTTATTTCTTAACGTGCGAAAATTACGGACGTAAATTTCGGATTCAGTGTGCAATAACCTTTACTCTTCTTCTCACACACACACCAGGTCATCTGCAGTGATCGCCTGTCCATTCCTGCTGCTGCCAACAACCATCCGCCCCAGTCTGGCCCGCATGTCAGCCAATCCATCAGTCAGAGCGAGGATGGCCATGATCTCACTGGCCACCGCGATATCAAACTGGGTCTAGAAGAATGAGTAGAGAAAGTCAGTCATAATTTAGGTGATTTCCATCAAAATGAGTCGTCAGGATGCAGACAGAGGAGAGATTTGTCAGAGACACACACACGCAACATCTGCCAAGTCTGGTTCTTTATCACATACAGTAAACTGCTCCCACATGTGTCCAAGACAAGCCCAGCTGGAGTAAAAGCGAGCTGTCCTGGTTTAACTCTCAGCTAATAAATACTCCCCCAATAAAACAGCTGGGCGCAGAGGAGTGGTGGCCAGATGCCCTATCAGGAAAGACGGGCCGCTTAACACATACCACTTGTGTCATCATTACTTGCCGTTTAACTGCATTTACAGCACCCTGATTGCTGAGATGATCTAGCCTCAGAGTCAATGTTTGCAAAGCCTGAGGTAACATGTCTAAGTGTGATGTTTCTTTGCCAGTTTCAAACGCACTTGTACCGTCCAAAACACACAGATATAGTATGCTTTATGTCTCTCAAGAACAAAAAGTGGGCCATAGAGCACATTTCAGTGGTTTTGGTACAGTGGGAGGGAGACGAATGTAAGCAAGTGCTTGGCTGGGATTGCTATGCATGCAATAATGCTTTTTTTTAAACATTTGCTTTTAGTTTGACTGCTTCTCATTGAGGTGCAGGCTGTTAACTGGTTGATTTGGCTTAAAAGTCATTATTTCTGACAGCAGCTGACACAGTGCTGCACTTAATAGATTATAGTTAAGTGGAATATACATAAAAATGAGAGAAGGATGCGAAGGAAAAAGAGAGATCATGAAGAAAAAGGACAAAACTACTACAGATCACCTTTAGCTGTTAGTTAATTGAGTAATTAAGGTAAACCACAAACCTGGCGAGCATGGCCTTTTTCAGTGTTGGCCTGGCCTATAGTGATCTTGCGCAGAAATCGGTCATTGGTGTCAACAACTGTTGGAAACAGGAGAAAACAAGATTATTATTCAAAATTTTAAATACGAATTAAGCAATACAAGTAGAAAAATGTTGGGACCAAGAGCAGCACAACAATTTTTGACTCAAGCTGTTTTGATGACTTTATTTCTCTCTCTCTGTCCCACTGCTCTCCAGATTGATTTTCATAGTCAAATCCAATAAAGGTTTACAAAATGCCTAAAAACGAACTTAACTGAGTAGTTTTACTAGCCTCTATTCACTGAAAAAAGTTTTGCTTATGAACAGATGCTATAACTTCTCAACTGCAACCTTATTACACCCTCTTCTTAAAAATGTGGGTGCCTCATATGTCCCAAAAATGTCACTAAAGTCTCTACTGAAAAAGTACCTCACAAATTATAGTCAGTATAAATAATTCAGAAAAGCTTTGTTTTGGGTGGTGTCTCTAAATGCAAATAAGCTGCTTGCTTCCCTCCCCACTTTCCAAAAGAGCGCCTCTGTTACTCCAGCAACAATATATTTGCATGTGTATTCAATCCCTGTCAGTTTAAACTAATGATATACAGTTTTTCTGAGAGCACAAACAAATGAAGAGCGCACAGAAAATGTCTGTCTGATGGCAAGTCAGCTACACATAAGGTGTTTTCCACTACATAGTATGACATGGTTTGGTTCAACATAGCTCTCTTTTTTCGGGGGGGTTTACACTTGGTACAGTACTTTATTATTTTTCACCTCGGCTGAGTTACCACCTCGACCATTATTAAAATCTGACGTGTAAAAGCCAGAGAGAATCATCACTATCCTTGTCATTGAATTTGCTACAAAAGACACCTAAATACACAGTAAAGTCAGCAACAGCTACTGTAGGATTAATTTGTTTTGACTGTAGCACTCAACATGGCTGTATTTTGATCAGTAGACGAGGTGCAGATGTTCCTCTTGGTGTGAAAAGTCTGTCTGAGTATCTACGATCTGCCCATGTAAGGTGAAGAAGTGTGAAAAGCAAGAAGAAAAGGCTTACATATTTTTATAGTTCTAAAAGTTACAAACAAAATGAAAAAGAAAAGTTAATGATAAGTGGCAAAGCAAGCAGTGATTTATCTTCTGTATAAGCTCTCTCTCTCTCGCACAATAATGACAGAAAGTAAAAATATTTATCGTAATAGCAACATAAATGGATGACTGAAGAGCCAGGTGATTTAATGTGAGCAAAATAGGGAAATTCAAACAGTAATCCCACACAATTAAAGTAATACTAAAATGTAGTGAAAAAGCAAACCAAGATTAACCACGCCATACCAAACAGCACCAAGGTGTTGTTATCTGTTTTTAATAATTGTTAATTCTTTGTTATTTTTATTTTCTTGTTTTTTATTCATGTTAAAGTAAAGCACTTTGAATTACCATGGACTTTGCTGTATACTGTAAATAAACTTGCCTTGTCTTGTGAGTAGAGTCATACCACGCAGTGGAAAAGTGTCAACAGTAATGTCAAAAAAACAAAAAAGTTTACAAAATGCTGTTTTATGTCTGGGAATTGAAATAGTAGGTAAAGTAACTGCATGTGTATCAGTATATTATCTTGGTAAATCTCTTGGATATAGCAACAACATGTTACTAACTCAAACAGGGATTGCGGGAATAATTTAAAGGGCACTTATTTTACCCTTTTTCAAGATTTAAGATACAACTTTTGTGTCTCCAGATTTTGTCTGCAAAGTTTCAGCTCAAAACACCAGATTATTTATTCTACCTTACAGAATATTGTAATTTTCTGCACTGAACAAAAAGGAGCTGTTTTTGTTGCCTGTGCCTTTAATGCTAGTTCTCTTCGCCCACCATTCCCACGTGCCAGTCAGAGTGTGCCTCAGTCTCTGCCTCGGCTGTGTCAGATAAACAGCACAGTGACAGACATGAAAGAAGCAGATTTCATGTAACGTTTGTGAGAAATACTACAGTAAGAACTTTCCCAAATGATTATTTGATGTATATGTTGTGGAGTTACAACGATGAGTTAGATACAATGTCATTAAAAAGTTCACTTCGTTTGACTTTGCACTGTTTTTGCATGGTAAATGTGACAGGACAGACATTAATATCCACTGCTGTATTGATATCCGTTTTGTTAATGTACAAAATGAACCTGATTTAACGCCCACAAACCGAGATTGAAGCATCTTCTTTTATAATTGTACAGACACGCAGCTGTGGTGATAAGTAAAGCTGAAGTAAATCACTGAATTTCATTACAAATGTTTTTTAAAAAGTTTTAAACTTGTAAAACTCATTCTTGACCAGATTTGATGATGATTGATGATCACAGAGAGCTGAACAGATCTTTTAATCGTAGTTGCTTTGCGCACAGCCTGTCTTGTTGGTATGATTATACGCGCTACTATGAAAACATTTTAATACAGGGCTGTCAACCAACTTGGTGTGCGGGGTAAACCACACTCCTTTGTCACATTGCGGTCGGCCTCAAAATGGTTAGGATTTAAATCCTATTTAACATCAAGACATTTAAAAAAAAGAGGCTTACTGTGTTTCTATCACTCCAATTTGACTGTTGACACACTATACCTGCACACAGTTCTGTTTAAACAGCTCCCAAAATTTCGGATGTTGTGATGTGTACATTACCAGAAGTATAGTGAACTTTTTGTTTTTACTTGCTTTTTTAAGCTCAAACAGCAGCATTAAACATTATAGAAAATGAAAAAAAAAAACATTTTTTAGAAAAAAAATTCAGATTGCATTTTCTTAATTCATCAGATAAAAAGGTGATATTGGTTGTCTTGTTCAATTGACGCAAAATAGCAGTATTGTATTTAAAGCCAAGGCTGGAAGGAATCACGTCATGATGGAACTCAGCTGGACGATAAGTGATACAAGCTGGACTGATTTTGCAGATCTGGCCGTCACTGCAAAGTAAATGTATGAGGCAATCTAATGAATCTCAAAAACCAATGACCTAAGGAGACCCAGAGGGGTGAACACCAAGAGAAACCACAACCTTTCAATAAGCATGCATTCCTCAAAGGCATTTAGCATTTTTGGTTTTTTTTTTCTTTCTTCCAAACTGAATTTAGGAGGGGGCAGCATGAGACAAAACACAACTCCCAGAGGGCCGGGATGTTGAAGGAGAAAGAATTCAAACCCTCTGGTATTTTCTCATGGAAATGCTGAACAATTATTAAACTCATTTTAAACATGTCACAAGCCGCAAAAATTACAACAGTGGTTTAGTCTGCTTTCTGGATGTCTCCCATATTCCTCTTGTGTATCGGATTTAATTCATCTCTCTGCGAGATGCCGTACATGAACCACATGGCACATCTAAAAGTTTTATCTGAAGACTTATTAGTAACAAGGAAGCCCCATGACGATGTAGTCCAAAGGATCATTATTTATAGTGATATACTCCCATTATCGACCACGGGAAAAGCTAATGGCTTAAACATTACATTTATGAACGTCACACAGAGAGAGAGAAAGTTCTGTCAGATCTCCTTAGACACACACATTCGCAGCAGGAGAGAGATGTAAAGCTGTTCTTAATCTTCCAGGCCCCTCGTCTTACTGTGCACTTTTGAACCGACAGAGCAAATATCCCATCAGTCATTGCAGCACTATCTTCTGAATGTAGGGCTAAAGTCAGCAGATGTTCCCAGGCGGCCACGAGTGAAATGGGAAACACCCCGATCCAGCTGAATCTCATTCCCCAGCGATCAGACGGCACTGCGTCATAACCCAATGCAGAAGGTTTACATTTGGCATCTCTTCCAGGTGCGTAGAGCAGGCGTGTTACTGTATGTGCTCAAGGGGGACTAGTTCCTAAAGACTGCTCTCAGATGTAATAATATGGCCAGTTTGAACTGTGATGGATTCAAATGAAAGGGTCACAAAGTACAATAATGCTGAAATAGCATCCTGATGGCCATGTACTTTGTCATACCACATGTTTTTTACATCACATACCATTCAACGTAATCCCAAAATACTTCTGTGACCAGTCAATTGTTGAGACTTTGTTATAGGAACGTGTCATATGAAGAACAGTAAAGCAATGCAAATAAAGCAGGCTCCTACCTCTTTGCCATGTGACCTTCTCAGGGTCAAGGTCAAGACGGACAAAAGCACTGACCTCTTGTGGTGTGAGATCAGTGGGATTGGATTTGTTTATTCCAAGACGCTGAAAAATAAAATGTTGAGAAAAAGACAATGAAAAAGCTGATCCTTCAAATCAAACAAACTGACTATTAAACCATTTTCTCTGCTGCAGTTAGTTTTGGCTTTGTCTCAGATAAAGAATGCAGTAGTGTTTTCCTAAATTGTAAATGTTTTGCGATTGGAGGCCCCAGTATGGTCACAGATGTCTTTTTCAGACTCTTGTTTTAATTATGTTTTTTTATCGTTGTCAGTCTCTCAGAAATTCACTAGCTTTGGCTCTCCAAATGCAAGTCAACCCAGTCGGTCTTTGAGCAAACATAAACAGTTTGTGTTTAGAGGAGTCTCTGGGCTTATCTGTGTCACAGCCAGAATAGCACAACACCACTTGTTTACTTAAACAAAAAGAGAAAAACACTAAAACTTGTGAACAGCTGAGAACTGCTGTGAATTATAACCTTATATGAAAGTTTTCGCAGAAGCTACATGAGGACCCCTGTTTGTTACCTGATGTACTGCACTTTCTACAATCACTTTCTACAAGGGCCACAATGATACTTAAAGTCCTAATTTTAATCTAAAAAAAAATTAAGAAATGCCACAGAGATGAGGGCACCTTGGGCCATATGTTCTGGACGTGACCCACCCCAAGGACCATTTTGGTCTGCTGTGTTTGAGACCTTTTCTTATATATGTGAAAAGGATATTACAATCAGATCAGTAATAGCAATATTTGGTGTGACACCTGGAAACCTTGCACTACCAGTGGGTCAATTAAATGCACTAGCTTTCTCTTCTTTGTCGGCCCAAAGGATTATACTTTTGCAGTGGAAGTCCACTAAATCACCAACACATACTAAATGGGTAGAAGCTAGAAAAACTTTGTACACAAGGCTCAAATAATAGATTCTTCAAAGTTTGTAGACCATTCCTGTCATATTTTAAAGAAAGATTTATTCCAAATACTTAAAATGTAAGCTTGGATGTTAATTAGGGATCCCATTTACTAGACAAGGATTAGGGATTAAAGAAATAGTTATCCACATTTGTGGCTTTTTAAAGGGATAGTTCATCCAAAAATGAACATTGTTTCATCAATTACTCACCCTTTACTTGTTTAAAACATTTGAGTTTATTTTCTCAAAAGAACATAAAATTAAAAAAAATGAAAATTACCTCATTATTAATTTTCCCTCATACATTTTTAAACCTTTGTGAGTTACTTTTCTCGGTTGAACACTAAAAAAGATATTTTGAAGAATGCTGGTTAATGGCACCCATCGATTTCCATTAGTAAGCAAAAAAAAATACCATGAAAGTCAATGGGTGCCATTAACCAGAATTCTACAAAATATCTTCTTTTGTGTTTAACAGAGGAAAGTAACTCATAAAGGAAAATAAATATTGAGGTCATTTTCATTTTAAGTCATTCATTTAAAATCAGAATACCTCATTTATCCAGCTTCATTTAAGATAATAGAAAGTCTGGATCTTTTAAGTTTACTGTGAATGTCTGATGCTTGAAAACCAATTTAAATCATTTTTAGTTATCATGAAGCCTTCATTTCCCTTCACTGAAAAGCATTTCTCTGGTTACATCCAAGGATAAGGGCATTATCAAACAATAAAACGTAAAAGGTCTGACGTGTAACAATCTAGTCCAGACTCACCTGTAGGCGAGCCAGCTGTATGGGAGAGAAGCGCCTCACACCATTAACAGATGGCACTAGTCTGCTGTACAGGGCCTAAAAGACATAAAAAGATCATACAAGTCATAAAAAGATAAGAAACTCATAAACATTTACCTATAAAACCAGAAACAACCTGCTTTAATGTTATGGACAGGCTAACTATTGATCAACCACAACATTAAAACTCAGGAAGAACATCCTGTGCAAAACTCAAAAAAACATTAAGACAGCAGAACTCTACCTTGTCTGATTGCGTAGCTTCATGGAGAATGCGGGCATCAATAGCTGCCGCCACTAGATTATTAGCTGCGGTTATAGCGTGGATGTCTCCTGTGAGGTGGAGATTAAACTGAGAAGAAAAAGAAATGCTTCTGATGAATACAATGTCAGCTCTCTCTTACAGACAGAGTCTGGCATTACACTACAAATCTAAAATTTGAAGTGTATACGTAAAAAACAGCCCTAGTGTTTGCCATCATTTACCACTTAATTTTATTTCTTCTTAATGGCTGAGTGAGTTATTCGAGAACTTTCATCAGTTTAAGTAAGATGGGAAAAGGCTTTTTGATAGCGGGAGACAGGATGTCTGTAGTAACTCACCTCCTCCATAGGAATGACCTGTGCATATCCCCCACCCGCCGCTCCTCCTACAGGGAGACCAAATAATGAAGCAGACTGACAAACACAAAGCAACCAAACCACAAGACAATGGGCCCTATCATACACCCAAAACAATAAGGCGCAAGACGTGTTTGGCGTGATTTCTTGCCATTTTCAGACCAACACAAATTTTCACGTTTTGCGCAACATTGTTTAAATAGCAAATCCATTTGCACAACTTTGTGGACCCATGGGCATGCCGGTCTAAAAAGAAGATGTGTTAGGGCACACTGCTGTTTTGAAAAACTGAAATAGACTACGCCATTGACCAACTAAAAGATGGTCTAAAGTCTCGTGCAGAGGACATAAATTATGCGCCTGTGTGGGTCCAAACGCTTGCATGTTGCTTAATACACACAAGATGTACAGCAATACACAAATATCTTTACATATGAAAAAAAATTAAAGCATTAAAATGTTACAAAAATTATTATTTTCTACCTTAATATAAAAACTACTAGCTCCATGTCTTCTTTATCTTATAGAGCTTTTTCAGTTTATTCATGACAATTTGCATTTATATAATGTTATTATTGTTAATGCTATATTGTTTATGGGAAATGAGACTCTGACTGGGCTCAAAGCACACCCATATCTCATTAGGAGAATAAGCACAGCCCTGTTACATCATGCGCCAGGACACAAGACAGTATTTTTTAGTCCCTAAATCAGCAAGAGTGGATTCGGATACGCCCATAATGCTTTTGCGCCTCTGCGCCTAGATCGCTAAAATAGAGCTCAATATGTCTGATATAGCCAGGCATCAGATCTGATCTCAAACCTAACGATCTAATCATCCTAATGTTCGCCTACATGAGCATATTACTAATTAGCAAAATAAGTTTTGCTACAACTACAAGAATGAGTTCAAACGCAGCAACAAATTTAATACTTCTGCAAGACATTTGAATGGAGTTTGACATTTGCAAATAAAAGGTTAATAATCAAATAAAATAGATGTTTTAGTATAAAGTAAATATATATTAATACATGTAATTGTTTTGTTCCCCTTCGGTTGGGGAACTTCAGTGCCATGAATGGGAGGATTCGGATCAGAAGCCGCTTATCTGGAGAGTATTGAACGGGCCAATGAATGAAATTAATTGGCAGCGTAAGCTTGCGCAGGTGTGCGACATCTGCAATCATCTCAGCATATAAGCACACCTGAAGCCAGCAGACGCCATCCTTTTCGCTTCAGATCCTTTCTGAGTGAGTCGATGAGGGTTCCTCTTGCTGATCAGCACTTCAGAGCGAACGAGTGTGTCTCCCGGTCCAGAGTGGGTCTTCGCGGTGGCAGACGGTCGAGCTGGGTTACTCCCTTGCCTGCGGTTCTTTGGGTCCGGTCCTCCAGAGCGGTGCGTATAGTTGCAACTTTCCTAAAAGAGCAACACAGTCGTGCAGCACGTCCTTTTCAGGATGGCGCTCCGACTGTGCGTTTCTGGATGCGGGGGTTTCCTGTCTCCGGATGATGGACACGATCACTGCATTGCATGTTTGGGGGTCCAGCATGTTAATGCGGTGCTCGCGGGCGGTTCATGTCGTCATTGCGATGCCATGACCGTTGCACAGCTAAGATCGCGGCTAACTTTCGCAAGAGAGCGAGCCACCCCAGTTGCCTCCTGTTCTAAAAAAGCAGCGGGCGCTCGGGCAGATCTGAGGGTTTCAGCGGGAGCTAATCCGCCGCCCACGGGCTCGCGGACCTCTCGCTCCTCACGGCGCTCCATCCAAGCTTCGGGTGGTGAGAGTGATCCGTCTAACCAGATGGTAGCTCTCACACTCGCTGACACCGGAGATCAGATGTCCTCCGCGGCATCGGAGGGTGGGCTTTCACTGTCCGACGAAGATCCGGACCCGCTCGCCCCCTCCGGGCAGGTGAGCGCTGTCAAATCGGATCCTGAAGCGGACATGTTAGCCGTGCTTTCCCGGGCTGCTTCGGCCGTGGGGTTGGAGATGGTTTATCCCCCAGCTCCGCGGCCGGACCGACTAGATGGGTGCTACGTAGAGGACCAGAAGGCGAAGCCTTCGAAGCCTCTCGTCCCCTTCTTCCCGGAAGTGCACAGTAGGCTCACGCAGTCCTGGAGGGCACCTTTCTCTGCCCGTGCTGCGAGTGCCTCCGCCCTCACCGCCCTTGACGGCGGAGCTGCCAGGGGGTATGAGGCGATCCCGTCAGTGGAGCGCGCTATCGCGGTCAATCTTTGTCCGCGCGGCGCCTCTACGTGGCGGGGTTTGCCCCGCCTCCCGTCCAAAGCCTGTAGGTTGTCTGCCTCCCTCGGAGCCAGAGCTTATAAGGCTGCGGGCCAGGCTGCTTCTGCTTTGCACGCGATGGCCACCTACCAGCGCTACCAAGCGCAGGCGCTGGCCGAGCTGCACGAGGGCGGGTCCAACCCAAGCTTATTACATGAGCTGCGCACCGCGACCGACTATGCTCTTCGGACTACTAAGTCCGCCGCGTGTGCGCTGGGGAGGACGATGTCCACACTTGTGGTTCAGGAACGCCACCTCTGGCTAAACCTGGCCGATATGCGCGACGTTGACAAAGTTCGCTTTCTTGACTCGCCCATATCCCAGGCTGGCCTGTTCGGCGACACCGTCGGTGAATTCACCCAGGAATTCAAGGCGGTGAAAGAGCAGTCGGATGCGATGGGCAATGTCATCTATCGGCGTGGCCGTAAGCCCGCTCCGCCCGCCGAGCCATCCACCTCCGCTGTTCCTCGCCGAGGGCGCCCGCCAACGAGTGCTGCCCCGCCCCCGCCTGCGCCTCCGGCCAAGCGGGCGCGGCGTTCACCTCGAAAGCAGGCAGCCCCTCCTGCCCAGGGCGCCGTTAAGTCCGGTAAACGGACCGCGAAGCGTCCCTGAGACAGGCCATCCGGAGAAGAGGAAACTTGCTCTTTCCCCGCTGGAGGGCGGGGCCCCGATAACAACGGTACTTTTCAGTGCCACCAAAACATCAGTAAAAGAGCACTTTTTCCCTTCCCCGGATGTGACTGCACGAGTTCTGCCAGTCCGGGACGCGCTGCCTTCCGGCTCGCAGACTCTACGTGCTTCGCCAGTGGCTCACGAGCGCTGGGGGGACGGTCTCCCTTCCCTCAGCCCTCCAGCCCCCTCTCCGGAGTCAGGGTGCGGAGCCAGAGCGAATCGCTCTCCTCCAGCTTTTCCGCGGGACCCTCGTGCTTCCCGGATCAGCACACCCACTCCGCGCTGCCCCACCGCTGGTACGTCAGCGATTGTAGCGATGACTCCATTAGCGAGGGCTCTGCCTGCCTGGTTAGCGCGGGCCAGCCCCTCGCGGTGGCTCATACGCACAATCAGACTCGGTTACGCGATTCAGTTCGCGAAACGGCCCCCCAAGTTTACGGGCGTGTATTTCTCCAGGGTCAACCCCCTGTCCGCCCCTGTCTTGCGAGAGGAGATTGCTGCCCTCCTGGCGAAGGGTGCAATCGAGCCGGTTCCTCCAGCCGAGATGGAGAGTGGGTTTTACAGCCCATACTTCATCGTACCCAAAAAGAGCGGTGGGTCACGGCCAATCCTAGATCTGCGCGTTTTGAACCGCTGTCTGCACAAGCTGCCGTTCAGAATGCTCACACAGAGGCGCATTCTCCAATGCGTTCGTCCTCGGGATTGGTTTGCAGCCATAGACCTGAAGGACGCGTATTTCCATGTCTCCATTCTTCCACGCCACCGCCAATTTCTGCGGTTTGCGTTCGAGGGTCGAGCGTGGCAGTACAAGGTCCTCCCCTTCGGGCTCTCTCTGTCTCCGCGGGTCTTCACCAAACTCGCGGAGGGTGCCCTAGCGCCCCTTCGGCTCGCGGGCATTCGCATACTCAATTATCTCGACGACTGGCTGATTTTAGCCCACTCGCGGGAGCAATTGATTATGCACAGGGACGAGGTGCTTCGGCATCTCCGCCTACTGGGGCTTCAGGTCAACCGAGAAAAGAGCAAACTCGCCCCCGTGCAGAGGATTTCTTTTCTCGGGATGGAGCTGGACTCGATCACCATGGTAGCGCACCTCTCCGAGGAACGCGCTCGCCTGTTGCTGAACTGTCTGAGGGAGCTCGACAGCAAACTAGTGGTCCCACTGAAGTTCTTTCAGAGGCTCCTGGGGCATATGGCATCCGCAGCCGCCGTCACGCCGCTCGGGTTGCTCCATATGAGACCACTTCAGCACTGGCTTCACGATCGGGTCCCCAGACGCGCATGGCACGCGGGCACACACCGGGTCTCGGTTACTGCGCTGTGTCGCCGCGCCCTCAGCCCTTGGAACGACCCCTCGTTCCTACAGGCCGGTGTGCCTCTAGGACAGGCGTCCAGCCATGTTGTTGTTTCAACAGACGCTTCCAACACGGGTTGGGGGGCCGTGTGTCGCGGGCATGCGGCTGCGGGCCTCTGGAAGGGTGCCCAGCTGCATTGGCATATCAATCGCCTAGAGCTGTTGGCAGTGTTCCTCGCTCTCCCCCGCTTTTTACCGGTGCTGGAGCGGCAACACGTGCTGGTCAGGACGGACAGTACGGCGGCGGCGGCGTATATCAACCGCATGGGGGGTATGCGCTCTCGCCGCATGTCTCAGCTCGCCCGCCGTCTGCTCCTCTGGAGTCACCCGCGGCTGAAATCGCTGCGCGCCATTCACGTCCCAGGCACGCTCAATCGTGCAGCCGATGCGCTCTCACGACAGCTGTTACGCCCTGGAGAATGGAGACTCCACCCCGAGTCTGTTCAGCTGATATGGGCGCGATTCGGGGAGGCCCAGATCGATCTGTTTGCTTCCCCCGAGAACGCTCACTGCCAGTTGTTTTTTTCCCTGACCGAGGGCTCTCTCGGCACGGATGCACTGGCCCACAGCTGGCCTCGGGGCATGCGCAAGTATGCGTTTCCCCCAGTGAGCCTGCTCGCGCAGTTTCTGTGCAAGGTCAGGGAGGACGAGGAACAGGTTCTGCTAGTTGCGCCCCTTTGGCCCAACCGGACCTGGATATCAGAGCTCTCACTCCTCGCGACGGCCCTCCCCTGGCGGATCCCTTTGAGAGAGGACCTACTCTCTCAGGGACAGGGCACCATCTGGCACCCTCGCCCCGATCTTTGGAACCTCCACGTGTGGTCCCTAGACGCGAGGAAGACTTAGGTAACCTACCGACTGCGGTGGTTAATACCATCACTCAGGCTAGAGCCCCCTCCACGAGGCGCGCCTACGCCCTGAAGTGGAGTCTATTCACTGAATGGTGCGTCTCTCGCAGAGAAGACCCCCGAAATTGCCAGATTAGTGTTGTGCTCTCTTTCCTTCAAGAGAAGTTGGACAGCAGGCTGTCGCCCTCCACTCTCAAGGTTTACGTGGCCGCCATCTCCGCTTATCATAGCGCGGTAGCTGGCGGCACCGTGGGAAAGCATAACCTGGTCATCCAGTTCCTTAGGGGTGCTAGGCGAATTAATCCATCTCGCCCCCCTCTCATGCCCTCTTGGGATCTCGCCCTCGTTCTCACGAGTCTGCGATCCGATCCCTTTGAGCCACTCGAATCAGTATCTCTAAGATTTCTGTCCCTGAAGACAGCTCTGCTGGTTGCGTTGGCCTCCATCAAGAGGGTCGGGGACCTGGAGGCATTTTCGGTCAGTGACTCGTGCCTGGAATTCGGGCCGGATTACTCTCACGTTATCCTGAGACCCCGCCCCGGTTATGTGCCCAAGGTTCCTACCACCCCCTTTAGAGATCAGGTAGTGAACCTGCAAGCGCTGCCCCCGGAGGAGGCAGACCCAGCCCTTTCTTTACTTTGTCCAGTTCGCGCTCTGCGCATTTATGTGGACCGTACTCAGAATTTTAGATCATCTGAGCAGCTCTTTGTCTGTTATGGCGGTCGGCAGCAGGGAAGTGCCGTATCGAAACAAAGATTATCCCACTGGATTGTGGATGCCATTTCACTCGCTTATTCGAGTCGAGGTCAGCCGTGTCCCCCGGGAGTACGTGCACACTCCACTCGGAGCGTTGCATCCTCTTGGGCGCATGCACGCGGCGCCTCTCTAACAGACATCTGTAGAGCTGCGGGCTGGGCGACACCCAACACATTTGCAAGGTTTTACAATCTGCGAGTGGAGCCGGTTTCCTCAAGGGTATTAGGTAACCCTTTGGTGATTGAGGAGACAACTCGGTAGGGTGTTGAAACACGCTTGCTGCGCCATTCTCCCTAACACGGAGGTACGTGCGCCTTTTTTATCTGTCAGTAAAGTTCCCCGTCAGGTGAGCCCTGCAGATTCCTCCGTGGCCCCCAGCACTGACTCAGCGGAGGAGTCACTTGCTGGCCCACTACGTTGTAGGTCTGCCCGCTGGTCAGCCCGCGTTTTGGGTATAGGTGCCTGCTATGCGTGATCCCCACTAGGCGATCCCATATGCTTATTCCGCCACGGTTAAGTCCCCCCCCTGGGCGGACCCGTGTCTTCCCTCTCCGCTAACCACTCTTTGCTATGCGTACTCCCCCTTTTTAGGGCTAGTCCATAGGTAAATTCTGCCATCTATCCCCCCCTTGGGTAACGGATGGCCTCCGCAGCGTCCTCCCTATCGGGATTGCACGCTTCCCAACGTACTGTCGTATTTCCTAGAATTATCTAGATGCTCACGACTTCCCAAAAAATATATCTAAATCCGTAAAACTTCTGTTGAAGTAGGATAAATTAGGGCCAGGGACACGTTGGAGGACCGCGCCCCCCATGATGTGGGTGCGTCACGCTTGCTTGACTATCTCCTCATCGGGGGTGTTGGTAAGGTGCAGTCATTATGGCGCTTTCCATATTCTCCCATTCATGGCACTGAAGTTCCCCAACCGAAGGGGAACGTTCGAGGTTACAGAAGTAACCCTTCGTTCCCCGAGGAGGGGAACGGAAGTGCCATATTCCGTCGCCATAATGACTGTCCCTTAGCTGTTTGAAAGTCTCTTCAGCTTAAAAGGATGGCGTCTGCTGGCTTCAGGTGTGCTTATATGCTGAGATGATTGCAGATGTCGCACACCTGCGCAAGCTTACGCTGCCAATTAATTTCATTCATTGGCCCGTTCAATACTCTCCAGATAAGCAGCTTCTGATCCGAATCCTCCCATTCATGGCACTTCCGTTCCCCTCCTCGGGGAACGAAGGGTTACTTCTGTAACCTCGAACGATATATTTACAGCAGAACATTTACAAAATATCCTCATAAATATTAATATATAATTAAAATTAATTTATGATTAGAATCAAGAATTTTGATGAGCACAATGTATTTTTGGCTATTAACAAACAATATACCAATATTTAATTTAGAAAAAAAAATAGACTGGCAGTTTCAATTTACTACAACTTCTATGTTAAGCTGCTTTGACACAATCTACTTTGTAAAAGCCCTATAGAAATAAAAATAAAAAGTAACTGAATTTAATTAAATTGAATGTACAATTAGTTCACATTTTCTTCCTTCATGAATCCCCCAACACCCCCCCCACACACACACATACACAAAAGTAAAGCACACCTTTGACTCCAAAAGTTGGGCCTTGTGAAGGCTGTCTCAGGCAGGCGAAGGAGTTGAGTTTGAGATGAGCGGTGAGGGCCTGAGCCAAACCTATGGTCACTGTACTCTTCCCCTCGCCCAGAGGAGTGGGAGTTATACTGAAAAACATAGAGCAAAAACATTATCAGCACATGCTTTTTATAGAGAGAGGGCTGTGAGACTATACATCTATTCATCCATCTTCTCCTGTTCTTTTTCCCTCTGATCTGACTACATTAGACTACCGGCAAACCCTCTCCCCATCAGCATCCTCCCTCTCTCCGTCTTTGTGGAGCGGCTCTTTTGGCAGCGCAGTAAAGGCATGCCAGTGGCTGACAGTAATTGAGTAGGCCGGTGAGGAGGGCAGTGCTGCTTCACAGCGTCTGTAGGCAGAACAAAGAGCCGGACTTAAAGAAAGAGTTAGGGGAGCGGGAAGGGGCCACTGATAAAGCCAGGGGTCTGCGCATTCCCCACACACATGAAAGAGATTCTGGGCCCCCGATCGGAGCTGACCGAGCCACGCTTCACACACACGGATGAAAGGGAGGCTCCTGGTGGGCTTGAGGGCCGGTGCTAGATAAGATCCCTGGCCCACCAATCACTCTCTCTAGGAATTTAGAGGCAGAGTACAAACGAAAGCATGAAAACACAAACATAGAGCTGAAGTTTGTCTCAAATGCTTTTTATCTCTTCTAGTATCAGCACTTCAACTATTCAGGTTCCTGCAATGTATTAAAATATGGTCAATGCATTTAGCATTAGCTGATGAAAAAAGTTTCATCAGCTCATTCTAAAAGCCTACCACTATATACATTTTTGGAGAGCGGCAAATATGTCCCAGATGCTACTGTTTTGCAGTTTTTGTTTTCACGAATCCACCAGAGGCTGCTGTGTACACTTTTTGAGATCTCGGTTTTTCTCGCTATTACTATTCGCACCTGCTGTTCTCGCATAAATGCACTAGAGGTCGCTGTCGACTGACTGACTAAATGATTGACTGACCCACCCTCCTCCTTGTCTAAACCCAACCAATAGTGTTTTCAAAAGCACCGGTTGACCAACGCCCACCCATTTCCCTAAACCCAACCGACAGTTTTAAAAAGCAATCCAGAAAAAGAAAAGCCCTTGCCTGATGTTACCACGTTTTCAGATTTTACCACATTCTCAACCTGTTATTTACTTGTTTATTTTATTTTTTGGCTTTTGCTTTTGTCTTACATGCTTTCTGGAACTGTTCTTCACCGGACTCAAACCTTGTGGTCATGGTCACCTCATCTCTGCGTCTCAAGTCCGCTGACATACATAGCGGGCTACTGGGCAAACTGGTAACAGCAAGAAAGCCGTCCATATGGAGGTAAGCGGTCAGCTGGTAAGCACGAAAAGTAATGGCGTCATACCATAGTGTTCATTTTTAAGACGAAATGAAGCCATACATATTTCTGGCTACATAATTTACAATCTCCAGAAATGTATATAGGGCTACGCTTTAAGAATGAGCCTTTGTTGGTCGATATAATTCCTGTTTGACTTTTTGGTTCCATTTTAACTTGGGTAACAAGGTTGCAATAGTTAGCATTAGTTTGTCACACTAGTTAATGTGAACTAACAGAAAAAAATAAAAACCTACAGCATTTAATGTAATGTTATTAAAAATGGTGTAACGGTTAGTATTGGTATTATTTAATGCACCTGATGCAGAATGACATAAAAAAAATTCATATGATTTTTTTTCCAAAAACTGACTAAATGGTTGGTCAACTGGCTACAGAAAAAAAAAATACAAGAAGTAGTTCAACCATATAGTCCAATACGAACAGTAAATATGGCTATAAACGAGTGTTTTGGAGGTAGTTTATTCAAATGAAAATGTATTCAAATATTCATATATACAACTTTAGACTGATAGAAAGGCTTTCCTTTCAGCTTTCAGTGGCCAAGAACCACACCACCTGACTAACATCTAAAAGGAATAAAATCACAGTTGTTTAGCTCGGGGTCATATTTAGATATGTGAAAATGTAGAGTTGATTCCCCACATAACTGGCCAGTGTAAATCTAATAAATTCATTTAAAAACAAGACAGGGTTTGGCTTTGTTTCCAGGTGGAGTGTCAGTGTTAAAGAATACTCCATCTTTTGTTATTATTATAGAATTCAACCAATGAGATGAAGACTTTGGTCTTGAGTGTTTTCAAGTTTGTTTGTCGTATGTAGCAGACATTCAGGCAACGGCCAGTGACTGCGACACCACAGTTTAATCTGCCATAATAATGTCCATACAGCATATTCACCTTTTTTTAGCTGATCCACACAATGTGCATGAGACACTGACACAGCAAAAAACAAATAAACATTATTGGAGAACTGGTAATCAATCACCACTCTTTCGGTCAATAAATTTTGACCCTACAAATCTATTGTGGTCAAAGCCAAAACGATTGTAAAATTGCTATTAATTGACTCACAGCTTAAAAAATTGATTACTAGTTTTGTTACAACATTAAAAAAACATTTCACGCTCATCACATGCTAATTGAAGCAAATAATTAAATGCATAAAATATATACTTTTAAAGTTTATTATATTATTTATTTGATCATTAATTTAAGTAAACTAGCCCCCATCCTCCCCAACCCCTGCCAATAATATAATGAACATGGACAACACCACAAACTCAAAAAAACAAAACAAACTTATAATTTTAGCATTAACCAATTGCACCTTATCAAATGTATAGCACTGCTTTCATATCATGTGATTTTGTCTCACCCTGCTACCAGCACGTATCTGCCATCAGGCTGGTGTTGGAGGTGGTTGAGGAGAGATAAATGGACTTTGGCTTTGGTGTTCCCATAGGCCTCAAGCTCCTCTGGTAGCAGGCCGATCTCCTGGGCAAGCTGGGATATGGGTTTGGGAGTTTGTGCTCTGGAGATCTCGATATCACTGATGAACACACAAAACAGAGAACTATTAGTTAAGTGCACAATGAACAAGCTGAGGTGTGACTGATGTTTATTTTGTAGAAAGCACTAGGTGGATTTGCTCATACCTGGGCACAGGTGACAGTGGGTGAAGTTTTAGCGGCCGGATATTCCATGGCTGGTACTGCTGTTCCTGTATCCACCTTCTGCTACTCCTCACCACATGCTGACACAAACACCAAAAACATCTCCTTAGCAAACGTTTTGAAAATACACTCAAAGTTTAGGATCAGCAAGATTTTAAGATTTTTAAAACATGCTGCATTTATTTGATCAAAAATAACTGTATGCATGAAATGTATGCAGAAAATATGGATGTTTACGATTTAATTTTTTAATTATTCATTTATTTTTTATTGCTGTACCATATTTGTATTAATATATTTTTCTGTATTGCTGTACGGCCTAATATGTGTTACTTTGATCAATAATATTACTTTGTCTTATTTTTTAAATGTTTTTATTAGTGTTTTGTGTTTTTTTACATTGTTTTCGATGCTAGAATATACATTTGTATTATTTAATTCAGTGGTTCTCAAAGTGGGGGTCGGGACCCCCCGGGGCAATGAAGGGGGGTCGCCTGGTGATTTCCAAAAATCGATTTATTTTTATTAAACCATAAGAATTAACATATTTTATCCATAACTATACTGAAAATAAAAATAGTCGTTTATAGTTACTATATACTATATAGCTTATATAGTAGCTTACTAGTTCTATTGGATTGCGACCCCTGGGGTAATTACATTATATTAAAGGCAGCAATAGCGTCAGATGCATTTTGATTTTATAACATCAAGTTATACTTTCTGGCACATTTAAAGCACTGACACAAATTTAATTGGTGTGTCTGCTTCATTGCATGCAAGGTTTCTGTATTTATAACCACCTAAGGGGATATTGGGGGTCGCGAGTCACTGGCATTGTTATTTTGGGGGTCGCCGACTAAAAAGTTTGGGAACCCCTGATTTAATTCATGGTGGAAGAAAATGTGAACTAATTGTTTTTTGCTGATAGATAGGAACAGTTGATGTCTTGTGATTCTTTGTATTCAATACTATAACTATCTGACTGATATGCATCAATAAAAAAATAACTGTTAAACTGTACAATATTATTACAACTTTCAATAACCTAATAAAATGTAGTTTCAAATTTAATATCTATATTAAATATATAAAATATATTCAGTTATTTTAATTATCATAATATTTAATAGTAATATTGTTTTACTGTATTTCTGATGTGCCCATAAAAAAGAATAACAATCCTAAACATTGTAATAGTAACATGTGAGTCAAAAACTGCACCAATAAAATCATTCACTTAAAATCATTTGATCACAAGTTTAAAAGATTTGATAGACAGATAATAAAATAACAGACTTATTTTAGATTTTAGAGTAGATCATTTAGCCAATTTTAAAGAACTTAACCGAAAAAAACAGCAGCAACAGAGGGTCTCTCACCTGCATTCGAAAAGCAGCAGTTAAAGGCCCAAGTCCTGCAGCAGACTGGGCTTCAACTGTGGCCTCCCAGCTGTCAGGGTGCTCTAAGAAATAAAGATCATATTTAAGAAAAGTTGGCTCAGACTGAGCATTCAAGGAAATACAATTAGTGGTGTCTTATTATGTTCCCACACTAATGGAATCTCTGTGGGCTGTGGAGGAAATAGCACGGGCCTCGAAATGCATTAAGGTTTTTTGGAGATGGCAGGTAATGAGAGGTGAAGAAAACCTGACTGACTGACTTCAACCACATCCTTGTCTTTCACATTCAGAGTAAAAAAATTATAATTATAACAGTTGCTTCAAGTATCAGATAAGACTTCTCAAGAAAAGTAGTGCCATGTATGGTTTATGTACACCAGCAATGTAAAAATCAATTGTTATTTTTCCTGCCAAGCATTGTATTTTTTACTTGAAAGAAATATACCTTCCAATAGTGCCGAACCGAGGTTGATGGCTGCCACGCCTGGCCTTAACCATGTTGATGGAATGTGATTGTGGTTTGTGTTTAATGTTATCACCACATCTGAATCCATGATCTGAAAGAGTCACAATTTTATGTATACCTTGATTTATCCAGATGATCTTCCTTAAAAAGCAACATTGCCCTCTGGTGGTTAAAATGGCAAACAGCGCCTAAATAGAAACTAAATCGAAATCTCCCACATCTATCAGACAACTTACCTGTTTTTGCAGGTTTGTTGAGCTCCACCTGCAGGTTTGCAGTATCATGCCATTGTTTTGCAGAAGACATTGAAGAGCCACCTTCAGGGGTCCCTCTACACCCACCAGCACTGCCATCTTGCCAACTAATGGAGCATCTAAAAATGAATTACACAAAGATAAATGCTGTGTCAACAGAATTTAATTCACAGACAAAACGATACTTTTTAAAGAAAGAAGACAAATTAATGTTATTAAAAGAGACAGTACAGTATTTTTTTCAACAAAAACTGAAAATATTCAATATTAAATATTAAATAGCTAAGCTAGGCAAGGCAAGTTTATTTTATACAGCACATTTTATGCACAACAGCAATTCAGAGTGCTTTACATCAACAGGAATAAAAGAGACATGTATATAAAAAAAAAATAAAAGTAAACAGTATAAAACAGATAAAAACGGATTAAAATGTGTTAAAACAGGTTATAAAAGTATGAAAAAGAAAAGAAAGACATACTAGTGCACTCTGTCAGACGTAGCACAGTGCACATCCAGTAAAGGCACAGCTAAACAGATGTGTTTTAAGTCTGGATTTGAATGTGCCTAATGTTTTACAGCATTGCTTGAAAACAGAATCAGCCTAAATTGTGTAATCACAGAAGGAACATATCTGTTTATTTCTGCATGCATAATCAAAATGCAAGGACACCTTTGTATATTTATATAGAGTATACATAAACTGTGCATATTCCACCAATAAAAAAAGAATGACTTCTAAAGTGTGACATTGATACAGTTTACTGACTTATCCCCCAGACAATGCTTTTAAAAACGTTTTTCTTCTGATAAACACAAAAGAAGTTATTGTAAATAAAGCTGAAAACTTGTAATCACTGACTTCTGCATAATTTGTTATATCTTCTATGGATGTCAATGGTTACAGGTTTTTTGCTTTAATCAAAATAACTTCTGTTGTGTTCAATTAAAGAAATAATTCAAAGATTTTAATCTACTTGAAGTAAAGTAAATTTTTAGTAAATTTTCATTTTTGGGTAGACTATCCCTTTAAGACTAAATAATGGAGGCTAAAAATTCTGCTTTACCATGACATGAATAAAGTGCAAAACAGGTCTTTCTGTATTATGTGCTGCGATTACACGGAATTAATGTTTTGCTGTAATTTGATGAAAAGTTGAAAACATTTGAATTTACTCTATACCTTGAAGAACAGCAAGCAAGCATTTTAAAATACTTTTAGAGGAACTCTTCAGTATTTATTAATGTACATTTTGTGGAACATTTTGGTGTTTAGTTGTCTATATAATAAAAACATTAAAAGAAGATACACACCATGTTTGGCAAGCAGCTCCAGCACAGCTCCAGCAACAGGTGAGGTGAAGCCATCTGTCTTATCACCCAACACCACACGGCCAACATTAAGATCACACACCCTACAAAAGCAAAAATGTGAAATGCGTTTGTGAGTATAAATGTACTTGTAATATATTATAAGGTATCCTGTAATTAATACAGGCCTTTGTTCTGGGTACTAAGAACTAGAACGCTGCATTTATACTGTCGCAAAGAAATCTGAAGTGAAGTAAACTGTAAGTCAGCAACATCAAACACTGGGTTCAATATGATCAACAACTGGAGGATAGAGGATGATGTTATTAAAAAAGTTTTGTCATTGTGTATTGTCTGTTATAAGGGTGATGGAACTATATATGATTAAAAAGTAAAAAGGAATACAAACTTATTACATAGCTTTCTGGAATAACTGATTCTGATTGATCAATCACAACAATCTATTGTATGTTATTCCTAGATAACAAATGCTAAAACTCATAAACACAGGCTCGTCTGGGTACTACGAATCATCTGTGAGTACATTTATATACATTTTTATATGCTTAACTGTCAACCCACTGTTCTTTAATGTTTGGCGCCATCTTGTGACTAAACATTACATACGTTCAGTGCAGACTACATTCAGACATTTTCTTTTCTGCAAGCTTTACATTAAATTAAAGAGTTACATCACATTTAAATAATGCTTTATGTCTAATTGTTTATTTTTGTGCCGAGTAGCCATGCAATAAGTGGAATAATGTATTAATATTAATAATGTGTGTCATCTAGGTGCTTGTTTTCACAGAATAAACCCTTCAGTCTTATACAACTGCTGATAGGCTTTATTCTGAACAGCAGCCTAGATTAACTAGATTTAAGGCTGATAAATAAACACAACACCACAGACAAAGGCGACAGGTACATTAAGTGTCATTAAAAAAGTGTTTTGAAATATTAAAAAATATTTTGCCAATGTTTCGTATGGCATGCATTCACCTGATTAACATACACTAGTGAATACTCATTCTGTAGTTCATATTGTGCTAAATTAGACCATGGTCTGAAGTAAGAGCTAATTTGCTTCCCAGAACTTTGTTCCTAGAACTAAAACATTCCCAGTTTCTGTGGAGCAAAATGTGGTCAGCAAAATCCATTTTAATCTGCCAATAGTTCTTGAAACTGAGAAAAAAGGTCTTCTGGTGCAAAACCCCATCATGCATATAAAACAACCACAAAAACACAGACAAAAAATACTAACTTAAAATATGGTAACACTTTAATCAAAGCAGATGTAGTGATGTAGCACTTACTATAGTAATAATTACAAAGAATTATGCATAATTACAGGTAACAAACCCTAAACCTAACCTACATTCTAACCCCAGCCATATAGTATGTGCATGTAATTTATTAATATTACTTAGTAAATTAATGAATAATTACATTGTAACTATGTCACCGTAAAATGAAGTGTAACCTAAAACATTAACAGGTAGTGAGTTCTCAAGATTACTCACACGGATGATTGTGGCAAACTGTTCATTTGAAAATATTGTTGTACACATAAGCATCTAATTATAAGTTGCGTACCCATCCACATCCTTCTGTGGCTTGATGGCATTACGAACACTTTTGGAAAGGAAGGTCTGAGGAAGGTGCAGGAAAATGCCATGAACACGAGAATCTTTATTTAACCTCAAGACCTCCTCAATGACCTGCAATTCAAGAGCATAAAAAAATGAATGAATCGTGAGACAGAACTGTAGAGAACTGTTTCTATGGAATGCAGTATAACTTGTTTATTCATAAAATATATTTATTGTATTTCCAATTATCAGATATCACTGACCTCCTCTTCTGTGCACCGGTGTGGAAGACAAATCTGCATCACATTCAAGCCAATCTGTGTGGACAATATAAACATTCAAACTAATCTAAAGTGGTATATAATATATTCTTGAGAACATATCATTGGGAAAACAACTATAAGTTAATAGACAATTTCAATTTTACCTGATAATTTATTTATATATAAATAAAAATGTTAAAAATATAATATACTGTGAGATCTTAGACTAAATAGAACACACAGTTATACCTTTCCAGCCATCTTTTTATTCATTTCCAATAAACCATCATCTTCACCAGCCTGTGATAAGTAAAAACATCCCAGCTTTTAGTTTCTAAGATTTACTGACACATTTAAACTCTTTACATAAAAAACAAAGTCAGACCTGTATAATAGCCAGTGTGGGTTTAAGGCCTGGGTTGTTTTCTCCAATAGATTTGAGCTCTTCTCTGCACCTCTGAACAATGTCACTGTAAATGAGATGCACACAAAATACACATTTAACCACTCAACTCACAGTGTTTTATTGCATCTTTCAGTAACTGCATTAATTCCACAAAAATTAAAAGAACCATGAGAATTTTCTTTTAAGCTGTTGTTCATTTTCTAAGTAAAATAAAGTCAGTATGATCAGCATAACCTAACAACACTTTGACTTTATTCTACAGCACAAACCAGACACACTCATTCACTCCAACCATATTGTTAAAGACAATCTAAATAACTGCTTTACTGTTTTCTGTTGGACACAATATGTGATAACTTTAAATCTTTAAAAAAAGATTTATAAAATATTTTTTTTACATTGAAGACTATGCAGTGTATTATTAATTTATAATTATAATTTTATTAATAGATATATGAAGTGTTTCCCAGTACTGGGTGATGAAGCCGAAGGAAAATGAATAAATGAATGATATTTGAAGTTGCACTTCCCCCAAAATTATGCCAATCATTCAAAAATAATGATCTCCTTATTGCAAAATAAATTACAGAAAAACAAAAATAGTTTGCCAAATTTGAAAAGTGACATGCATTTAAAGAAATTTTGGTTATCTAATGACTGCTCTTTAGTCAAAAATGCTGACCATGCATCAACCAGCACTGCAATATTTTGCCTATTTTAATGCATTTCTCAAACTCAAGACTTTAAAACACAAATCAATTAGATCATCTGCTGCAAATTTAGGTCAAGCATTAATAAGGGTCTGATAACACTATTCTTTTATTTTAGCATTCACAGTGCTTGCTCTACCTCGATATCAATGACATCTTCAGATCACATTACAAAAATTTAATTTAACTTTTCTGATTTTGATTGTTATGCAATATTGTGTACCTCTGTAGAGCTGCTTTGAAAAAATAATTTGTGTATATGTTGCGAAAAGTGTTATACAAATAAACTTGAATTGAAATGAATATAAACTATATATCCTGCTCTGGACTTTTAAATGAGAATATGAACAAGAAATAAACACAAACAAAAATATTGCTACATTCATATCTGAGGTATTTGTTTTTGTCTGCTCAGCTGAACATAATCATTTGGAGCAGATTGGCTAACATATTTTGGAAATAGCAGATAAATGTATCTTATGTTACAGAGGAGTCTGTTGCGCCATTGTAAATATTTTTGCAAGGCTTTCTGCAAAGACATCTTCACTGATTACTTTAACCCAATTTAACAGCAACCTGACCTTTGACTATTTACAGACATGCATAAAGATACCCAGGGTCAATTGTATGTGGTACAAAGAGGGAAAGCAATATTCCAGCATCAAAAAGGGATATTTTTTTATACCTTAAAACTATACATTTTAGAGTGAAATTTTACATTTAAAATTAAATAAATAATTCTTCCCCCTGAGCAAAAAATAATGAAATCATACATTTTTACTATTATTTTAAAAGAAATCCTTAATTCGGTGCAACAATAGTTTATATATTAAACAATCTTTTAGAATGATAATAATTTGTTACATCTGTAACCTCTTAACTACCACCCCACATCTGGAGTTCACACTTAAATTATAGATGATATGTGCATATTATACAACATTTTCCAAGATAAGTTCAGGTTTAAACAGAAACTTGTTTAAATATACTTAAAAACAGACAGTTAAAGGCTTAAAACTATTTAAAAAGTATTATTTAATAATGCAGCCCTGTCATTTTAAATCTTTACATTTTGCCATTATAATTTAATCTGCTGGGTTCACCAATTCCTCATCAAAAAGTTGTTACCATTTCAAATTTAATATTAAAAGTTACTAATAATATGTATTATTATACATACATTACATAGTACTAAGTACAGGTCAGTATTAGGTTGAATTTACACAAATATATCTATTACACTGAATAAGACATTTGACACAAAACATATTTGAACCCTTAAAATAGACATTTAGGTTGGATTTAATGTGTAATTTATTTAAAAATCACTTCACTAGGGTTTGATATGGCACTGATTCAAATTAGATAATGAATGCCACCCATAAAGAATATATATTTTCAGGGAAGACCAAAGAGCGCTGTAACACTTTTTGTTTCTTGCTTTACTAAAATAACTGTATACTTCCCTTCTTACTTAGTTGTATATACGTGATATAGTTTGTCTTCCAACTGCAGTTTCCAGTTATGGTGAACATATATGAGTTATTTTAGTTTTTAAAATAATAAAAAAACTTTTATACTTTAAAATAACTATTGTTCCCACAAACAAACACTTAAAAGAAATCCTTTACCGAGAGACGATCAGTATTGTGATCGTCCACCAGGGGAGCGGGTTAGATGAGGACATTCAATGTAACACTGACCCACTAAAAACATTCATGTTTAGTTAAAATAAAGAGTCGCACTTTATAGGACATTCAAATACTTATACAGTATCACAATATGAACATGTAACCTAGTTAGGACACAGAACAACTACAGTAGACTACATCCGCACAGTGTGAAGACAGACTGAAGACTAATGGGAAGCAGAAGTTACATCAGCAGGCAGACAAAAACCGGCAGCACGTGGAAACAAATCAAGGCAACACAAGAGACACTTTATCTTCAGTAACGTTACAGCTAAAGTAGCTGTATAAACAAACGTGTTACTTTTCGATATGAACGTTTTTTTACTGACAAAGTTTAATTCTTACCCAACTGCTCTTTCATACGGTGGTCCTTCGTATTTTCTCGCATGACTTTGTAAACTGGCTGCTGTTTCAGTTGTACAGCTGGTAGAACTCGCTTCTCGAGCCCGCAGAAAAGAAACCGCGCTGATATCAGGTGTGTGTCTGTTCTCCCGGGATAAAAATTTGACAAAAGTACGTGATCTTTGTATGGTTGAGTGGCTCCGGTGAGCGTGGCGAAAGGCGACAGACAGTCTCATCATGCTACTTGGCTGGAGCGGCTGACAGAGCGGAGTCTGGTCTGATGCTCAGGTGATTCTCGAGCACTACTGGAACAAGGCAAGCGCGTGCTAGACACCGGCATCACGGGAGCGCGCTCACTGAAGAACTGCTGAAGAGCACTTGAGGCGTTTTTGTAATAATTGTTCACAAGTCTAAGCAAGAACACAAATGACTCATCTGACATTGGGCAACATCTTATTTTTTCGCAGCGTTTTTTCTTTTCATTTACAAATTTGTAGAATTTGTGTTTTTTTTCATAATTTTTTTTCTTTTATATATCACAATTGCCCAATAAAGACAATAAATATTATCTTAGGGATAATTAGATACGGACCCAAGCTAAAAATTAACTGGGCATTTAGTCACCCTTAAGTGGTTCCAAAACATTGAGTTTCCTTTTTCTGTTGAACACAAAAGAAGAGTTTTAGAAAAATGTAATCATTGACTTACATTATGAGATAGTGTTAGTGAATGGTTACAGATTTTTAACATTCCTCAAAAAATAAATAACTAAATGAACTCAAGCAGTTTTGCGACAAGTGAACGGTAAGTAAATTATGAGATTTGGGTAAATCTCTTTAAGACTCACAAACTGTAGACCATAGTAAAATTTAAGACATTTTTTATAAATGTGCCTTAGAAAAAAAAATACTGGTGTGCATCTTGACACACAAAATAAATAAAAAACTGATTTGATATTTTAAGATCAGTCAGTGCAAGTTTCTTTCAGTTGAAACAGCGCACTTTTATTTTAGTCTGGAATATTAATAGGATAGTTCATCCAAAAATTAAAGTTACGATCATTTACTCACAATCTTTATGACATAGGTTTCAAACTGGATTCCTGGAGGGCCGCAGCTCTGCAGTTTTGCTCCAATACTAATCAAACACAGCTGATCGAAATAATCAAGGTGTTCAAGACTACTAGAGACTATATTAAGCAGGTGTGAGTTGGAGGTGGTTGGAGCTATGCAGAGCCGCTGCCCTCCAGGAATTGAGTTTGAGACCATTGCTTTCTGAGTTTCTTTCTTCTGTTGAACACAAAAGAAAATATTTTGAAGAATGCTAGCTGGCTGGCACCCACCGACTTCCATAGTTTTAATAAATTCAATGGAAATGGATTCCAGCAACCAGCATTTTTCAAATGATCCTCTTTTGTGTTCAACAGAAGAAAGAAACTCAAATAGGTTTTGAAAAAGTGCAGGATGAGTAATGATAACACAATTCTTCTTTTTTCAATGATTTTTAAGCCTTGTATCTGCAGCCAGGGGATAGGTATAGGGAGTAAACTAAGTAACCCAAGTCACACTGATGATCCTCATGGCAAGACCTGAAAGGAAGCATAGCATTAACATAAGCAGGAACAGCACTGTCTAAAATTGATGTCACCAGATAAGCCTGCTCAGATCCAGCAGTCACATTCATATCATGAGCTTTGTGTTTGTTAGGTTTGCGTGAGTCTACAGTGGCCTAACTAACTATCAACAGTTTTGGATTGGTAAGATCTATTTTGAAAGAAAGAAACTCAACATTTAAGCATCAAGTTGTCAATTTGAATGAAGTATGGGGGGGGAGGCAATAATATTGCAAAATCTGAATTTAAAATGTAATTTCTTATTTATTTATTTATTTATTTAAAGGCTGAATTCCCATCAGTCTTGTCTGCAGTCTTATTTAGTAAATTTTTTGATAAACAAAACAGCATTTTTTGGCAAAAATGTTTAGAAACGTCCTTTTTATTCACATTTTCTTAAATGCATCTCTATTCAATTAAAATAATAATAATTAAAAGCCATTTATTATTGAAGAGTAGACTAAGATGAACAAACAGAATTCATTTATGTATCAACAGAACACTCTCATGGAACACTGTCCTAAGAGAAAGTATTACATACTGTTTTATTTTATAAACCATCGTTATAAAATAACTTGCCTATTTACCCTAACCTGCCTAGTCACCCTAATTAACCTAGTTAAGTGTCTTTTTTATATGTTTACTGTTATAATGGCAAAGATGAAATAAATCAGTTATTAGAGATGAGTTATTAAAACTATCATGTTTAGAAATGTGTTGAAAAAAATCTCTCCCTTCAACAGTAATTGGGAGAAAAATAACAGGAGGGCTTATAATTCAGGGGGGTTAATAATTCTGACTTCAACTGTACATGTCCTCAGTAAGATTTGTGTAATATTGCATGTGTTTATTTTAATAGATGTGAGCAGGAGTTATTATGTTTCATGTGAGGAAGACACAAGTGACCTATAGGTATAACAAAGTTACAGTCTAATTTATGGCATCAGCCAATACCATTTGAATGAATGTACACAGAATGAGATACAGCTGACAAATATTTTGTGTACAAATGAAGTAGTTAAGATGCCTCACAGACATGTTGTAATAGGCACTTGATGGCTTAGTGGTTAGCACTGTCGCCTCACAGCAAGAAGGTTGCTGGTTCAACTCCCGGCTGGGCCAGGAGGCATTTCTGTGTGGAGTTTGCATGTTCTCCTCTTGTAGGTCATAGATAGGTGTAGGTCAATTGGACGAACTAAATTAGTGTACAGTATGTGTGTGTGTGTTAATGAGAGAGTGTATGGGTGTTTCCCAGTACTAGGGACTAAGCCGAAGGATCAATGAATAAACACTTCTGAGTCTGAAAACTAGACAACAGATAAGGCACCAAATTCTGAATTTATTCTAATAAAAGAAACTGAAAATTCACAGTTGGTGCAAAAAATTTTTTCTTTATTCTGTACTCACTTGGGCTTAGTACCTGCTCCAGCAAAAGTCGCCACAGTGGAATAAACCACCAATTATTCTGGCATATGTTTTATTTGGCAGATGGCCATCTTGCCGCCAACCAGCACAGAAAGTACACTAAGTTGTGAACTCTCAGTTTTGGGAAACACCCATATATTCATTCATACATACACACACTCATACACTACGGCCAATTTAGTGTATCTAATGCCCCTAGAGAACTTCTCTTTGGACTGTGAAGGAAACCAGAGCACCCGAACAAAACCCAAGCAGACACGGGGAGAACATGCAAGCTCCACACAGAAAGATCTCCTGGTCAAGCCAGGACTTGAACCAGCAAATTTGCTGTGAAGCAACCATGCTAACCCCTTAGCAATCATGCCACCCTATTCCGTCAACAACTAAATTATAGTTCTTCTAAATTTTTAAATACATTTTAAAGCAAACAATATCAATGAAAACTGGAAAGACAGTGGTGGCAACATTTGTTCTTCTGACCAATTGCCATTTTCTAAAGAAAAAACAATCCTCTAAATTACTTTTTACTTCAAATTCTCCATAGCAAAAGCATTCAAAGTTATAATGATTCTCTGCATTTGCTATAGACATGTTTGAGTAAAACATCTTTTATTTTATAAACTACTGATAAAATATCTTCAACATTTCAAATGTGAATATTAAGATTTTCAGCACTTATCTGTAGAAAATGGCAGTAGCTCAATATAAACATTATGATGAATATATTTAAATATGGTATGAAGTTTGTAATGATTTTATTGTAATGATGTGTGCAATCTGCTTGGAGAAATAAATTAGAAATTAGAACTGTAATAAAATCTGTAATACTTGGACAATTGTTTCTTTTGAACACCACTATACACTGTGTGGCCATTTCACCGTTTCCAGAAGAACATTTTCTTAAATGGGTTGTTCCTATCATGTCTCTTGGCTCTCTCCAGCTTCACAAGGACCTGCCTGACCTCTGCTTCAGTCGACTGAACATTGGTTTGAATGTAGTCTGTCATTGAGCTCTGCTCCTCTACAAGCATGGCCACATCCAGAAAAACCTCATGAAGGCTCTTAATGCGTCTCTCCAGCTGTACCATTTCTGTATGCCGGCTCTCGATTTGGATGAGGGCAGACCGTGCGGTTTTACCCTCAGAAACCATGTTCTCACTGAAGACGTTCCACTGACCGCTCTCCAGCATCTCCTCGATCTGTTCTCCAGTAACATCTCTCCCCACAATCTCCATCTGCCGCTGAATATAAGCCTTGCAGGACTCTTTGTGGCTCATCTCAGCATCATTGTACTCCACCATGGCATCACGAAAACTGTTGCTTATGCTGGAATACTGTGTTCGGGCTATTCTTGCCACTGGTGAATTGACACCATATTTTGACTCTAGCTCCTTTCCATGGGAGTCCATGTTGCGAAGGTGTGTAAGCATCTCCTGACCACGAGTTTTGATGTCAGCTGCAATTGCATTGCGGTCACTGGTGGTATTAGACGCACTAGAGCCAAAAAAGTGTGAGTTTTGCTCCCTGAGACGCTTTACTTCCAGACGAATATAGTGAATTTGACGGCGAGCCTCCTGTGCTTCATCAAACACAGCTTCCATGTCAGGGTTGGTGCTGGAGTCCTGAGGAAGGTCATAGAGGTCTGTGTTTTCTGAAGCAGGGAGTGAATGGGCAGTTTCATGCTCTGCAACTGTCCCATTAGACATTGAAACTTCCTGGAGGTGGCCAAGTCTGTCCCTCATAGCTGAAGTAGTTGACTGAAAGATACAAAACGTATTTTATCTAAGAATTCATTATATATGCAGCATAGTTATATACATGGACTGTAGTTACTAAAGTACACTATATGGGCCCAACAAACAACCCTTGTAAACAGAATAACCTGCCCGTCAAAGCGTCTGACGTAATCTACGTGCCCGTGTACCTGCCAGACAAGAAAGACCAGTTTCTACGAACACGTTTTAAAAATATAAGCTTTTTTTTTAAACTCTTTCTCTTACAGTGCGCTTCATCATTGTTTTACTACTTGATCAGGAGTGCGTTGTATGGTCTTTAGATATATAGATTCATTAAAAACAGAACAGATTATAGAAAATTATAATCAATCCCAAATCGTGCAATTGTAATATTAGCTCAATGTATAAAATGACTCTTATTAATGAAACTATTTGCCACTTGGAATAACACAAATTTTTCAAGCATTACTATGACTGTGGCCTACCTCAAATTATATCCTTCTCTGTCCCTTCCTCCTAAAATCAGCTTAATACAAAAGCCAATCCGTCCGTGAAAATAACAAATGCATTTAACGTAACAGGACTTCACCTCTGCAGCCAGCGATGCACGAGTGAGGATGATGTCATAGACTCCGCCTTATATAAGGTGTGCAGTGATGACCAATGTGTTCGACAGAGGGCAGAAGAAATGCGGGGCCAGGGGAGAACCGAGCAACGTAGAGCCTAAACACAGAACTGTCCCAAAGGCTTTTTCAACTGTTTAGTTACCACGAACGCCTTAAACATGATCATAATAAATTATATTTGTTAGTTACACATTTTGTAGGCCTATGCATTTTCTCTAAATAATTCCAACACTCTTGCGCCTTCTTGGGATCTCTAGACCCCAAGCAAAAAACCCTCGACTACTTCATTACAGCATTTCTTTTTTTTTTTAAATTATGCAATTCACGAATAATATTATTTATACACTCACTGGCTGATTAAACTCTGGTGTCTCTAAATCATTTTGGACCAGCTTTTGGGTTTACAAAAGCTTCTGTAATTATTCGGTTCGGTTTCCTCATTTTTTACATTTTAATATTGCGTTAGGATAATTGTAAGAGAAAACAATTCTCAAAAGATAATTATAAAAAAAATTCAAATATAATGCAAAACAATTATTTAAATAATTATTATAATAACAGTAATAATAATTACATGATTGGTCTCTAATCTGACCACGAACAACACAAGTGCGCCTCAAGGAACAATATCAGATGCTTAATCATATTTTAAAGTTGTCTTCTCTTATTCTAGCCTATAAACAACGTATATACACATCATCATCATAGCTCTGAGGCCTAGACTACTGCATAGTTTTACTTAAACGCAGGCTAGTGAAAAGACATGGAAGACACGAAGAAGATCATCTGACCGCTGAGGAATTTCTTAAAACAGAGATGATGTCAAAAGTAACGAAACGCACGTCTGAAGACTATTCAGCGAACAGGTTTGGCGTCAAAGTTACGCCCTGCACCGCGCATTCCTTCACCCCCCCACCCGGGAGAGGAGGACATCAGCCGCCTCACTGCAGAGAGGATGGAGCTGTAGTACTGACATGACATGTCGACTTAATTCAAACTGCAAATCATTTGGACAAAAACATAAGGTAATGGACTTTTTTGTAGATGACATGGGACTTTGCTTTTCACATTTCAGCTCTACATTATGTTTTTATGGGCAATTGTTCATTATTAGGCTAATAAATTCATTATAATGTTGTCAGCATGTCTAAAAGAGTGGGCAAGAGATGAAACAAAACAACATTTAATTGTTCATAAAAAACTAATTTTAAAAGATATTATTTTAGACAGAAATATTTCTTGCTATGGTTACTAACTCACAAGAGTGGTCTGTCGTGATCAGGTGGTATTTTTGTACAAATGTAGAACAACTTATTTTCACTTTTAGCATAAATTGCACATTGTTTCTTTTGACCCCATCAGTAGAGACAAAAGTAACACATGGATGGTTTAAAAGTAACACAATATGCTAAATATACTTGCTTAACTTTGTTTATAATAAATATTTCTGTCTATTACTTTAATATGTTAACTTGCGAACGTATTTTGTCCTTAATATATTTTTTCCAAAATTTGTTAAATGACATCTTCATTATAAATTTAAATTTCAGCTCTATCAAATGTTTCAAAAGTAACCCAACAATCCAAAATTAAATAATTTAGAAGTGTGCCACATGTTTATCTGTAGCTAAAGCTTTAGTGACTCAAATAAAGTCTTATATATATATATATATATATATATATATATATATATATATATATATATATATATATATATATATATATATATATTATCTCTTTTTAATACGCTTTGCAGTAAAATACCAATAACTAAAGAGCATATTATCTTTACAGAAACAAAAGCTGAAGTATCAATTCAATCCATTCAAACTTGTTTGGTGAGTGACGCCAGTCAGAAATAGTTTCACGGATAAACTTGTTAGACTTGTGACTTTTTCGTGGTAGATAAGGAAGTGTTATCTGCCTTTTACAGTCAGAAGGTATTTTTGTTCCACAATGCCTAAAAACAAGGACAGCTTGAGGGAAAATAATATTGCAAATTATAAAATCCCAATTTTATATATTTTTGTGTCTATTGAATGAGTGTAAAGAGAACCAGAACTAAAATTGTTATTTACTTTTTGGTGGTCCAGAATAAATTAATCAAGACAAGCAAACTACACTTTTAAATAAAACAAAAAAAAATGAGTTTGTATGGCTGGTTTCACAAATAATCTTTAATAAAAGCATTATTTGTAGTAAAAAATACTAAAGATTTTAAAAATGTTATTAACAATAAGAAAAAAAAAATTTAAGAATTGTTTACTGAAAGGTTCTTTTTAGGAACCAAAAATAATGGTTGCAGGGCAAAAACCTCCTTCTGAAATTATTCAGAATTATTTTTAATTCTGTTTATTATTTTTAAGAGTGTACCAACTTGAACACAATCTGAAACTCACTATTTCAGGGGTCTCATTGATTGTTGCTGCGTTTTGTTCTGTTTTTTTTGTGTTCACACTTATTGATATTAACTAGAGCAGAGTTTCTTTACATCAAACCAACCCTGTCAAGATGAACCCACACTTAATGTCCTTTGCTCTTCATTCTTTCTTATAGCAATCATGAGGGACCGACTAAATCATCTTCTGACCATCTCAGAGACCGACAGTCATCTAGAGGAGGTAGAATCTGACTCTTTCAGCAATGTGGATCTGGAGGAGAACTTCAGCCAGCAGGCTGTCATTTTTGACAATGGTGAAGATATGGAGTCTGTGCTTGACGAGGCTCAAGACACCAGACGTGAGATTCAGCTCATCCGCCTCGAGGTCAAGCGGCTCAGGGACCAAAACACACGTATACTCAACGAACCGACACGTACAAGTTTTGTAAAGCGTGACGCCAATGCCATCGCAGGTGACATCAAGACCCGTGGGGTGGACGTTTTGGCACGTCTACAAAAGATGGACGCCCACGCCAAAGAGCTGCAAGAGGAGCATGGCATCAACTCAGCAGTAGCCAGAATCGCCCGAACACAGTATGCCACCCTGAGCAACAACTTCCAAGATGCAATGACCGAGTACAATGATGCTGAGATGAATCACAAGGAATCATGCAAGCGTCACATTCAACGACAAATGGAGATCGTCGGTCGAGAGGTGTCAGGTGACCAGATAGAGGAGATGCTGGAGAACGGTGAGTGGAACGTCTTTAACGATAACATCATGTCAGAGGGCAAAACAGCTCGCTCTGCACTCAACCAGATCGAGCATCGACATCGGGAACTGCTGGAGCTGGAAAACCGACTCAACAGCCTTCATGAAGTCTTCCTGGATGTGGCGATGCTTGTGGAGGAGCAAGGACCCATGACAGACTACATCTTAAACAATGTGCAGAAAACTGATGCTGTGCTTGGGGAAGTGCTTATCAAACTGGCACAGGCCAAAAGACATGATAATAACAACCCCTTCAAGAAGATGTTCTGTGGATGCTTTCCTTGTGCTAAAATCTGAGTGAATGTAAACAGACTTGTGGACCTGAGCTTCTGATGACCTTTGAGTGTCATTTAAAAATGAAAAGAAAGAGATGTGTAATGAAAAAGATCACAGATTTCTGACGCAAAGCTTTGGTCTATAAAGAACTGTTTGATAGGCTACTCTTGAAGTGAACAGCAGTCATGCTAAGAGTACATTAAACACCTAACACACAACTGAAAGAAAATGAAATGACGTTCTCTACAACTATACAACATTTAGTCCTCACTACTTGTCTTCTTTTCCTTTAGCAGACTGATACAAACTGTAAAAATGGTAAATCACATTTAAGTGTTTGAGGTCAACAAAAGCAATGGAGCTTTAAACCTGATATTTGACTAGATATTGTGTGGGATATTCATAGGCTATAATTTATTATTATATGTGAGATTCTTATTAATCTAACTGAACATGCACTTACATTAATCCGGAATATGAAGAATTTGTCATGTCTTGCCATATTTGCAAAGCATGTTTATCATATTTTGTTTGTTTTGGCAATCAGTTTCTCTGCAAGTTTATTAGAAAAATATCAGCTAAATAAAGGATCAAATAATGTACTGTAACTCTTAAATTGTCTTTTTTTAAATGAAAAAACAGATGCAGGTGTAACCCCGCTGGTCCTATACCTCCCAACCCGATTTGAACTGGGATCGAACCGGCAAATCAAATGGGCAGGCTGAAGACCATGGTCTCTAGTGTCTGTCGCTGGAGCATCTTTGAAGGTCAGAGGAGAGGTGTAACTGCATAGCACTTCACTAGCTATGAAGTGCCCCCCCCCCCCCCCCTACCTTACTTCCATCCGGGTCATGGCACCACCAATAAAACCCCGCCGGTCCAACACCACCCAAGCCACTCTGAGCTGGGATTAAACCGGCAACTCTTTGTATGAGAGACTGTTGCTCTAACAAGGAGGCTAAAGACCATGGCCTCTAGTGTCTTTCACCGGAGCACCTTTAGAGGTCAAGGAGTGAGGTCTACCTGCAAAGCACTTCACTAGCTGGCCTCTGCTACACTCACCCCCCTAAATCATACTTCCATCTGGTTCACGGCACCAATGTAACCCTGTCGGTCCTACACCACCCAACCTGCTCCGAAGTGGGATGGAACTCTTCGTACGAGAGTCGGTTGCTCTAACAAGGAGGCTTAAGACCAGGGTCTCTACCTTCTGTTGCAGAAGCACCTTTAGAGGTCAGAGGAGTGAGGTTGATCTGCACAGCACTTCACTAGCTGGCCTCTGCTACACAGAAAGTTTTTGTTTTTACATGATTAATTTTTTTTTTCTGAATAGTTATTAGATTTTTTTTCAGTGTTTTAGTCTCAAAAGAAGAAGAATTATAACATAACATTTTATAGCAAAAGTATAGCATATAGGCAATTTTAAATAACACAACAATAAGTTGGCTTTATCAAGCTTTACTGTATACCTAATTTAAACATTTTCTCTTGTTTTTTCATTGTTGTATGCTAGTTAAATCTGTGTTTTAATGAAGGCAGTTTGAGTACATTAAAACCACTTAAACATGATTTAGGATTAACTTTTACTGTGTTTTAAATGAGAAGTCATAGTCAAATAATGCAAGGTTTAATACGTTACACCATCTACAGTAACAAGCCAGCCAGGCTGACAACTTTTTTATTGTTTTGTATTACAGTAGGGGCTTTTTAATGCTTCATTCTGATTGAATGACAAACATTTTAGGGTGTGCACTTATTGTCACATAAAAGCCCAGAAAAGACCCAGGCAGATTACTATTCTATATCACTAAACAGATTTTAGATTACTGCAAATCACCAAGATGCAAGTGTCAAATCAAACCAACACAAAACAGAAGGCTTTGCATGAGATGTGTAAGAAACTACTAGCACACATAGGAGCTGAAGAACAAAATCGTAAAATACAATCTCTGATCACACTTTATTTTGATGGTGCGTTAGTTGAATTGAAGTTATATTGCATCTTCATGCCAACTAATTCTCATTAGATTATAAGTAGACTGTTACATTGGGGTTAGGGTCAGTGTAAGTTGACATGTACTTCCAAAGTTTCTTATAGTCAGTTAAATGTCTGTTGAAAGAGCAGTATTAACAGATATTAAGCAGACGGTCTACTAATACTCAAATGGATCACCAAAATAAAGTGTTACCCAACCTCTTACCAATACAACCTTAAGTTTTATAAACCATATAAACAGAATAATTGACTACAGTCCATTGAATTATTAAAAAACAATTACACTCTAATAATATAACACTTCATATAAATTAGGCCATTCTTTAAAATTTCACATCAACTGAGACAGGTTCCATGTTACGTTGACACCACAAAGAAAACATTCTCATAGAAAGTTCTCGCTCTCTTTTTAGCCTGTCTAATTTTGTCTAGTTAGAATGGGGAAACATTTAAAAATGTTTGTAAACTTTTTATTTAGTTTATGCATGAACTTTATAACTACACAGATGCTGTTTCTCACATGACTAACATTTCCTTATTCCTAAAATACCATACATGCCACAGATGTGATCTATTTTTAACAAAAAAACAATCTTTTATAATAATGACTAAAAACTTATTCTTTTAGTATTTTTATATGCTGTTTTAAAAAAAGGAACCTCAAAGCAATTTACACAAATATAATAAAAATACACAGAAATACAAGAAAAAGTTAAATCAAAGCAACAACGGGAATAAATATATGTAAACAGCTATGGAAATAATTACAAGGAAATTCTCAGTTTTTCTGGATTGATGGGAACTATGTATGCATTTAAGTAAAATGGTGACATTTGTTTTAATCCATACAGGTTTGTTATAATGAACATTTACTGCTTTTTTGTTTTGAAAAAAATTAGTTAGAATAAGAGTTTTTATTTGTTATTAAAAAGTTTTTAAAAGAGTTAGTCAAGTTTTGTCTAAAAAACATATGAAACATCTGAATGTGGTAAAAGGTGCTATTTTTTAAGAATAAAAATATGTTTTGTTATTTAATTAATAATTTTAATTTATAAGAATAAAAAAAGCTCTTAATCACAACATTTTTATTTAAATATTCAGAAATGATCAGCCGCTTTCAGAAAAAAAGGTTTTATTCAAAACACATAAATATAGATAAATTATCATTTATATATCATTAATTAGAATGCATGTACATCAATATATGAATAAGTATATACTGAGCTTTATTGAGGCATTTCTGTGTAGAGTTTGCATGTTCTCCTCGTGTTCGCGTGGGTTTCCTCCGAGTGCTCCGGTTTCCCCCACAAATCCAAAGACATGCTATAGATGAATTGGGTAAGCTAAAATTGTCCTTAGTGTATGTGTGTAAATGAGTGTTTCCCAGTGATGGGTTGCAGCTGGAGGGGCATACACTGTGTATAACATATGCTGGATAAGTTAGGGGTTTATTCCATTGTGGCAACCCGAGATTAATAAAGGGACTAAGCCGAAAAGAAAATGAATGATGAATGAATGAGCTTTAATGACCTCTGATTCTTATATAATAATTAATAATAATACTATGGTATTTGATCATTGCTGACAATAAAGCATGTGGACTGTGATCTAAAATGAATAAAGTGAATAACAGAATATGCAATAACAATAAATATCACACTTTGTTAGTAACTGTCAGTAATATAAATCTTCCATTCTAGTAAAAAAAAAGGCTTCAGGAGTAAATAAAATAAAAATATGAAATTTGCAGTGACCCTAATCTTCAATAAAGTGGCTTGTGATTTCAAGTTTCCTCAGACAAAGATTCATGAAGATTCAGATCTAGCACAAATCCCTTTTAGACCATCTGAGTTTTTCCCTTCATCAGAATCTCAACAGTCTTCTCCTCCTATAAGGCACAAAAAACAAACTGAAACACTAAAAAAAATTGTCAAACTTTATGAACTTAAATACAACCAAGTGTGATCATAAGAAATAGCTTTAGTTTACTCACGTTTATGTACCAATTGGTTCTAAATTTATTTATTGCCCATTTATACAGCTGGCTGTAAGGTGCAAGAACATGTAGATGCAGATGTGGGACGGTGATATACGGAGGCACGTGGAAACCTAGACTGAAATACGATCACATTCTCATTTTATACTAGCTTCACTCAAAATTAGCACTTGATAAATGATAATGAAAAATGAAAATGAATGAAAAATGAAAGAAAGGCATACCTGATGTCTTTCAAATCTGTCACATTGTTGGCTTTCAGTACATTTCTTCCCATCTCTGCCATCCCCCTAACTGCAAATAATAATCACAATTTATTCATACATTTCCTATATAATCTCTCTATGTTTATGTGATTTAAATATTATTATTATTAAAATAAATTAAACATTAACCATATCATCACCATTGTGTTGTGCTGTTTTAGAGAGATAGAATTTTTTGTTTGAGAATTTAAATGATGCTCGTTTTGCCAGATGTAAAATAAGCCTCTGATGTCCCTAGAGTGTGTATGTGAAGTTTCAGCTCAAAATATAGGACTCTTTGGTTTTATAACTCTTTGAAACTGCATCTTTAGGCTTAAATCCTAATTGTGCCACATTGGTGACTGTTGCTTTAAATTCAAATAAGGTTGTGCTTTTTTTTAAAAGAGGGCGGAGCTACAAATGCCTACGTGTCAGCAGAGTGGCAGATTAAATAACAGGACTAACATCTTATGCTAATAAGCGAGAAATCGTCACTAATTGACGGGGATTTCCTGTTCTGATGACACGTATAATGGGAGAATGTCAATCAAATTGTTTCTGCTTTTATGAAGTGGGATGTAAAAGAAAAATTATATATATTTTTACTATTAGAAACAGGTTATATTCAGAGACTTTTGCAACATAACTGTGTTTAAACCCCTTATGAAAGTGATTTTTGCATAATAGGTACCCTTTAAAACAAAATAAAAATAAAATAAATAAAATGTTTTGCTATTTAGCACATAAAATGACAATTGGTGAAAATAACAAAAATATTCCAGATTATAGACTACACAATTTGTTTTATTTAGAATAGCTAAAACAAACAAACAAACAAGCAAAAAAAATATTTGGTTCTAAAAAGCACAATTGTGGGTCGAAATATATTTGAAAATATTCGATTTTACCCCCTTGTTAACAAATGTGGTTTTCAGTTTGAGTAAGTCAAACAAATTATGAACGCAAATACTAGATCTTGGAAATGACTTATAATGCACCTCTTCCTCTGTATGTCTTGTTTTCAAGTGCAATACATTTTACTCTGGAGACAAAATGGTATCAAATAAGAAGCTTAGTTCTCGTTTTAAATGGAAATTAATTAAAATGTTCATCAAAATGTTCAAAATTCAAGTTTACCATTAGAATAAGAATATATAAATGCCAGTGGTCTGAAAAGAATTTACTTAATTTAAATGAAAAAGTAATTTTTACCTAGGCCTGTCACAATATCTGTTTTTTGTTGTACAACATATTGCACCAAAATATATTGTGATAAATGTAATTATTATTGTCATTTAGGACAATATTTAATATAAGTGGCAAGATTTTATGCCACTCATTATATAATGCCAGAATGACAATATAATAGCA